TGTGTGGATGACTGGGAGAGCATGCTGTGTACATGGGAGCTCAGTCAGAACCTCGTCACCAACGACTCCATCACAGTGAGGCTGAAGTGGGCAATAATGTAAGTATATCATCGTCTCTACTGTCTGTAACATGTCATGAGAAACAATTTTGGGCAAAGGAAAGGAACACACTAATTGTGTTTTTATCAGAAATCGTTTTGATTAAAGATGTAGAATGCAAAAAGATGGTTCCTGAAGTATAGACTAGGCCATCTCTTACATATGAAATTTGCCCAAAATAGTACTCACCACATTTTTCTTTGATGGTAATTGGATATGTAGAACATTTCATAAAACACATTGTCATTTGTAAATTTTAGCTTATATCTCGTTTATAGATTCTACGAGATTCCAAATTTGATCATTCTAGCTAGTTATTGGTTCTAGATTTTAGATTCTATCATTTTAAGTCTTCATATATGTTCTAACAGATTTCACATTTGAATATTTTGTGCATAGGTTCCACTAGATTCACCATTATATTTACATTTGATCATTCTTAACAGCAGGATTTTATACAGGGGTTTCAGCAAATACAAAGTAGTGCTACTTTTAACAAACATGACATACAAGTCACTACTTGCTGATTTCAGTGGTATTACATTACATGTAATTATGTAATATTAAGTGAAATATATTTTACAGTTAAATCATTTAAACTATGATCACCACAATTGGTCAATGTTTTTATTCACACAATGAAAAATTTCCTTAAATTTTCAGTCAATTATCAGTCTTTGATTATACCCTGAAATGTTCCACTGGAACTCACAGCATTAATGGTGGACCTTTTAGTAGTTGATACTGCAGTATTCCCTGATTCATCAGTAGTTACCTAGATTAACTCCTGGGCTTGAAGTAGATATGACAGATGTCTGATGAGTAGTGTTATACTCCAGCCACAGGAAGAGAGGAAGGTACGTCCAGTTCACCATGTATGTCTCCATCTGCTTATATCTTTAGATAGCTTCAGTTTTTGCTTTGCTCTGCAAAAGAATTAACATTTGCATATTTCCTTAACATTTAATTCAGTGCATCTGGAGGCCTGGAGTGGTCCACCCATTTAAAGTGCCTCAACATGCTGTGCGGAGTTGTGTCCCTTGTGCATGCCAGAATACTATGACTTTGAGCTGAATCCATGTATTTTGCACTTCTAGCATTTTATTTTGCCACCATACATTCTCATGAGTTTCACCAAAGAAGTGTATATCTTAAGAGTAGTGCTGGTATTGGCACACAACCTTTGATACGATACCTAGGGCTGCAACGAATACACTATGTGGAGAATATGATACGTATCATGAATTTTGGGTTACGAATACGAATAGTTATTCACGAATACAATATTGTAGTTAAGTGATTGATGTTCAATATGGAACGCCCATGTTGACAGTTTTGATTTGTCACAGCAATAACCAGTGATCTCATGACACTCAAATTTGGTATGTAATAGTTATAATCGACAGTATCATGTGCAGTCTTGGCAAACTAACATGACTTGCACTACTGCAATGCTAGTACATGTTCCATTCTTGCATATCTCACAATGAAAAAGGACATAAGGGTTCAAGTAAAACATGCTCCCTTCAAAGAATCGTAAATATTTGTTAATATTCAGTTTTGGTGACCACAAATAACGAATTGAATTCATGAAGGGCTACGGTTCGATTCACCGAGTATGCCAGTGTATCGTTACAGCCTTATACATCACGATACTAACATTTTAGTTACAACAATATATTGCCAAAGTATTGTGCACTTCAACTGCGATACGGTCGGAATCCCGATCCGTATCACGATACTAAAATGGCCGCAACTTCCACGAACAAAATATTAAGTAAACATAAGTGATACATAACAACAAGAAGAGTTTTCAAGTATTTCATCAAATACCGCCGGCGTTGTTCAATGTCAATGTTCATTCCGAAATGAGATACAATAAGTTTATACACAGACTTTGTGAATGTTAATAACATGCGAGCGCTGTGTCTGACACAGTTCCCGACGCAAGAATTTCCGAGAAAACGTTTACTTATGAAGGGAAAATAAGTATGCATCTATTTTAATCATCAAACAAAAGTAAGTATTTTTTTCTTGACAGATATCGCGATTCGGCAATATTCAAAGTTAAACATCGATGTATCGTGGCTGTAGCGTGGCTATTGAAGTACTGTATCAGGATATACAACAATATAAAACTTTGTATCGATTCACTGTATTGGAGGCCCATGAATCAATGCATTGATATGTATCGATGAATCATCACACCACTACTAGATGTCACTTGATTCTCCTCCCCATCAAGGTGACATGATGTACGATACTACCAACTCAACACACTCATGCACCTGGATTAGATCAACCAAGTACGCTGTCCGTTTTGTGAAAGTCGGCAGCAGGGAGAAGGGGTTAGTGTAGAACAGTTGGGAGAAGAGTTATTTGCAGTATGTTTGTTATGACAAACAGCGTGTTACAACACTGTTGTAACCCGTGAAGATCCGGGTTAGAATATTGATCTTCAGTAGCCCATGCTTGTCATAAGAGGCGACTAACGGGATCAGGTGGTCAGGCTCGCTGACTTGTCATCGGTTCCCAATTGCGCAGATCGATGTTCATGTTCTTGATCACTGGATTGTCTGGTCCAGACTGGATTCTTTACAGACGGCCGGCATATAGCTGGAATATTGCTGAGTGTGGTGTAAAACTAAACTCACTCACCCATTACAACACTGTTGTCATATCACCAGTCAACATGCCAATAATGACCCAAGTCTAGATGTAATCAATTCTCTGGTTGATTTGCAAGACATGTTTTAATAATCAAGCTAATATGCAACTGATGTGCTGAAGAAGAACTACACAGTGACATTTAGGCCATGTGTTTCTCTAGCCCTTCTTGCCTTCTAGTATAACTCAGTGACCATCTTGGATGATCCCAGGCACATACAAACACTGACAGCATGAATTTCATTGAATGCCTCGCCTCCTCTTCAGCTTCATCACAGCTTAACATCTTCATGCCAAAGACATCACTCATTTGTAGCAAGATCAAATGGTAGATGTACAAATACTATGATATACTGATGAGAAGCTATGGCCAATATGGCCAATGGTTAACCCTTCAATATTTGATCTGTATTTTTTGCATGTGACCTTGCATTTGTTACACCAGTTTTGCATCTGCATCAGTGAGGGATAACACTTCAGATTCCAGGTCAGTCAAGTCCCCAGACTTGCCATAAGAGATGACGTAATGACCATCAAAGGTCAGGTTCAGTAACTCGGCTGATTGTGTATCATCACGACCTAACAGCAGGGATAGGTGCTCATGCTCTCAGTCACTAGTTGACTTTTATTCCATGGTTCTAGTATCCGTGAAGATCCAGGTTAGAATTGGTCTTCAGCAACCCATGCTTGTCATAAGAGAGACTAACGGGGATGGGGTGGTCAGGCTCACTGACTTGGTTGACATGTCATCGTATCCCACTTGCGTTGATCGATGCTCATGATGTTGATCACTGGATTGTCTGGTCCAGACTCGATTATTTACAGAATGCCGTCATATAGCTGGAATATTGCTGAGTGCAGCGTTAAACAACAACCAACTAACCTATCCATGGTTCTAGACATCTTGACATCTTGAACTATACCAGCAGACATCACACTGGTCCAAGTCTCTACAGCTTTCAATGAGATCAGAACTGTGCACTTTATTTGACTTCAAGACTAAAGCTTTACTAACCCCCTTTATTGTAGTATTTATTCTGCTATAAATATCATGCGTTCAGTTCATTCATTGTACATTCATCTGCTTCAAATTAAGAATAGCAATTAAACAATTAATGTGTCTGCCTAACTGAATATTCATTGTAGTCATTTGTCAAGAAAGTCATCATAAACTGAATATCCAATAATATTGTCTTGAACTGTATTTACCTTTACAGCTGAAGAAAGCATTACTTGTACCAAGCTGATACTCTTCTTGATCAGTCCTTTAATGGATGGCTTCAGTCCTTGCAAGCATTCACTCATTTCCAAATCTTTTGTCTTTGGATTCAGCTCAGGCTGTTTTCCAAGCCTCTGTTTCACCAAATACCTCTGACTATCAATCCAACATTTATGTCTATCAACGGGGGCGGTGGGGTAGCCTGTTGGTCAAAGCGTTGGCTCGTCACGCCGAAGTCCTGGGTTCGAACCCCCACATGGGTACAATGTGTGAAGCCCATCTCTGGTGTCCCCCACCGTGATGTTGCTTGAATATTGCTAAAAGCGGCGTAAAACCAAACTCAGTCAGTCAGTATGTCTATCAACCACCCACAAGTTTTTTAATTAGCTCAACGTTTGACAATCCTGTGAGTTGAACACATATCTACCAACTTACACTTGTACCTTCTCACTTACAGACATGTCTAGCAAATTACCCATCCGCTGACCAAACAACGTTGATAGCCACCCAACAACAATACTATGTCTATCCAACAACTCTACTATTTATCAAACAACTTTTCTGTATCCAGTCCCAATCCCCTCTTCCCATCCATTCATTACTCCATCCATCGTAGATCTAACCAATCCTTTCCCATCCATCATCCTCTCTTCCCATCCATCCATTGTAGATCTAACCAATACTTCTTTTCCATCCACCATCCCCTCTTCCCATCCATCCATTACTCCATCCATTGTAGTTCTAACCAATACTTCTTTTCCATCCACCATCCCTCTTCCTTCCATTGTAGATCTTAACTAATCCTCATTTCCCATCCACCATCCCCTCTTCCCATCCATTCATTACTCCACCCATTGTAGATCTAACCAATCCTTTCCCATCCATCCATCTAACTATGAACAAATTGTTTTTTGACTCACCCCTCTTTTTCCCATCTTTCCCTACCATACCCTATCCTCATCCATCCATCCATCCATCCCCCATCCATCCATCCCCCCAACAGTTCTCCAGCTGTTCACCTCTCTATTTGTCTGTGTTTCAGGGATGGACTGTCCTATTGTCCTCACCAGACTAAAACTTCCTGTCTCTGGAAGTCCAAGGATGTCAATGACACGTACAGGACTGGCCTGATCTACTACATGGAGGTTGTCGTGACAACTGGAGACAAGGCAGATGAAGCTGTGCTTGAGATTCAGAACTTTACCATCAGCACAGACAAGCTTGGTATGCATACAACACTTTCCATTCAGAACAGTGTATGAAATAAGGCCCGTCAGACTGCCAAGACGGGCTAGATTTGTGATGGATGATCTAAATTTACAGCTGGCCAGCCAGATGGTCTGGTAAAAGTTTTAGATTACATGTCCCATACATCTGAGTAATAATAATGACTGTTGTGAATAGACTGTTAGACAGTAAATACATGTCTCAGGTTCATTGAATTATTCATTGTAATTAAAAATTTAGTTATATTCTCAGGATTGTCTGATTTAGAATAAACTTACCCAGGGACAGCTGTTTTATGCGATGTAAAAATGTACATCCAGTGTACACAACTGCATGACTTGGATGCATAGAATAATAATAAACATCCCAATGAACTAAAAAAATTAAATATTGCATTGAAAGAATTTCATAGGTGCAAGTTTGAGCTAGTGGGTATAGTTTGAAAATAAATAATCTTTCAGTGGTCGACCTTGTATGAATGTAACCCACTGTGGTAACAAACAGCAAGCAAGAAACCAATACCTTTCTTCAGTTATTATACTACCAGTGTTCGAAATACCTGCCTGCCTGACTGCCCGGGACGGGTTATTTTCAACACGGACTGCCAGATTCTCACATTCACCTGCCCGACAGTCGGGTCTAAACAGCCCTATGGTCTGGCTGAAATTTTTGGGAGTTTCATACCCTGATATTACTGACAAAAAATATTGGAACTAAGAATTTGAATGCAGCTAACGTTGAGGTGGACGTGTGCAATACCGTGGCGTTGCAGCTGAACGCAACATCCAATCACAATGAAATTCCACATGATGCATGAACAACACGTGATGCACACAGAAGCTAAACTGGGTTCTCCTATTGGAGAACTCACAATCACTAATGAAATGCATTGAGGTGAACACATGCTGAAAAATGCCTCTGAGGCAGTATCTCAATGAACAGACAAAATGGAGAATTGTGGGTATGATTGAGGAGGGAACACCACTGTGCCAAGTTGCCTGAATGTTGGATAAATAAAAAAGTGTTATTTCATCAGCACCTGCTATCAATGGGAATTTTGTACAATAAATGGACGACAGAAGTGACTCTATCAAACCTGTCTGAAAGCAAGGCAGTCAAGCTCACCGGGATTGGGATAGGCAGCATGAGACCATTGGCGTTACACCATGTTCTGAGATGAGACCAAAATCAATGACACCTATGACAGAATTATTGACCCTATCACAATGGTGTCATGGTTAAAATCAGCACCTGCTATCAATGGGAATTGGTTCAGCGATATACAATTTTAAATGGCTCCACTGGATAGAATTATCGACAGATTTCAATTCCAAGATGATATCAGACCACACCATTAAAACCGCTTACTCTATCAAACCTGTCTGTCCCCAAAAGCAAGGCAGTCTGACGGAAGGGTGCCTCATCCATCAATCTGGCCCAGTTTGGGGTACAGCTACCCACGGGCACCACACAGAGGCACATCAAAGATTAAGCCCAGATTATTTTTTTGTGGACATTTAGAGGTAGTTTATACTATAATGAAAACTTTGGTTATTTTGCAGCAACATCTAGTATTGAATGTTAGTGAAGGAAGTAGTGAACAAACTTGAAAATACTTGTAGTACTTTTCGTTCCTAACAGATTTGGCATACTTAGCTTTGGAGCACAGATGTCACACTATCTCTTTCATTTTGCCCAAAGATATCTCCCAATACACTACCATGCAATATGCCACCACATCATCTTGTCTCGCTTTACTGAAATAACCTGTGAGTGAGTAAGTTTGAGCAATATTCCACCAATATCACACCAGAAATGGGCTTCACCATTTGTACCAATGTGGGGAATCGATGCTAGGTGTTCAGCATGATACTAGTAAGCAACACTTCAACAACCAGGCTACCCGACCCACCCGACATAACCAAGTAGTACAGATTTACCAATTAAGGTTAACGTTATCATGACAATTCACTTGACAATCATGTTCTAATGTTGAAAATACATTGCAAAAGTTGGGGGATGCAATTTAATCAGGATTAGTGATAGCTTGTTGTTATTGATTATAACTGCCTCAGACATCAGGGAATGCAATTTAATTATGAACAGTGCTAGTTTGTTATTACTGATTGTTGATACTAACGTATGAACAACACATCACTGGCCCACTGTGTTGGTGTTGCAGTGAAGCCTGCGCCTGTGGACAGCCTGACGGTGGTAACCAGGAACCGGACCTGTCTGTCTCTCCAGTGGGAACACAACAAGTCCTACAGGAACATGCTGTACACACTGCATGTGAAGCAGGGCTCCCACCTACAGGTGAATATCCTGGGTCCTTTCTGGGGAGATGCACAGTGATATTTGTTTCACCCGGCAACAAAAACATTTAATGTCTAACTTCAATCATTTGATACATCTTTCTGAACTTGTGTTCACACATAAGCAAGTGTTGAAGAGGTGCCTTTTGTTAATCAGGATTTTAATTTTATTCAACATGTTTCTGAAGCAGTAAGATCAGATGATCAGATGAGGGCATGGTTCATTTCCTTGTGAAGGATTAAATATTTCTTTATGACATTTTGCATTTAAATCAGCCATGTGCTGAACTAGTGCTCTTCAATATTCAGGATTTTTTGTGTTTTCCTCAGATAATAATTCTGATAAATTACAAAAATAGTTGAAAACATTTCTGGCATAAACTTAAAAACCTTTCAGTGTATCTTCAGTAAACTTTCCATATCTACCACGCTAGTAACCTGTGGGTCTCCTCGTGTTTGGAGAAAGTAAGATTATTCATGAATAGACATAAGCAGACAGGGAGTGTGAGGGGTTTAGAAGTTGGATTGGGACTTTTGTTTTAATATTTAGTTTTTCCAGGTTCTAGACTGAAGAAGACAAATGGAAAGAGTCTCTCTGGCTGAGCTATACATCATGTGTGACAATGTACATCAAGTAAACTTTGGAATTTTCAGATTTACAACTACACCAACACTACTAGTGCCACAACCTGTGGACTGCATCCAGGCTTGCTGTATACTCTGGAGGTGGCATGTGTCCCCATTCCCTATGGTTACAGGGAGCCTCATGGCTTCTACAGTCAAGGGATATCTGTTCATGACAGGACTCTGGAAGATGGTGAGTCAGACACTGTACAACTATAGTCTAGAGAGCTTCCCACATAACACTGTACAACTGTAGTCTAGACAGGTTCCCGCATAACACTGTACAACTGTAGTCTAGACAGGTTCCCGCATAACACTGTACAACTGTAGTCTAGAGAGGTTCCCGCATAACACTGTACAACTATAATCTAGAGAGGTTCCTGCATAACACTGTACAACTGTGGTCTAGAGAGGTTCCTGTACAACACTGTACAACTATAGTCTAGAGAGGTTCCCGCATAACACTGTACAACTGTAGTCTAGAGAGGTTCCGGCGTAACACTGTACAACTGTAGTCTAGAGATGTTCCTGCATAACACTGTACAACTGTGGTCTAGAGAGGTTCCCGCATAACACTGAACAACTGTAGTCTAGAGAGGTTCCCGCTTCACACTGTACAACTGTGGTCTAGAGAGGTTCCCGCTTCACACTGTACAACTGTAGTCTAGAGAGGTTCCCGCTTCACACTGTACAACTGTACCTGTATAACACTGTACAACTGTAGTCTAGAGATGTTCCTGCATAACACTGTACAACTGTAGTCTAGAGAGGTTCCCGCATAACACTGTACAACTGTAGTCTAGAGAGGTTCCCGCTTCACACTGTACAACTGTACCCATATAACACTGTACAACTGTAGTCTAGAGAGGTTCCCGTATAACACTGTACAACTATAGTCTAGACAGGTTCCTGTATAACACTGTACAACTGTAGTCTAGACAGGTTCCTGTATAACACTGTACAACTATAGTCTAGAGAGGTTCCTGTATAACACTGTACAACTATAGTCTAGAGAGGTTCCCGTATAACACTGTACAACTGTGGTCTAGAGAGGTTCCTGTATAACACTGTACAACTGTAGTCTAGAGAGGTTCCCGCATAACACTGTACAACTATAGTCAAGAGAGGTTCCTGCATAACACTGTACAACTGTGGTCTAGAAAGGTTCCTGTATAACACTGTACAACTGTAGTCTAGAGAGGTTCCCGCATCACACTGTACAACTGTACCCGTATAACACTGTACAACTGTAGTCTAGAGATGTTCCTGTATAACACTGTACAACTATAGTCTAGAGAGGTTCCTGTATAACACTGTACAACTATAGTCTAGAGAGGTTTCCGCATAACACTGTACAACTGTAGTCTAGAGATGTTCCTGTATAACACTGTACAACTATAGTCTAGAGGTTCCTGTATAACACTGTACAACTATAGTCTAGAGAGGTTCCGGCGTAACACTGTACAACTGTAGTCTAGAGAGGTTCCTGTATAACACTGTACAACTATAGTCTAGAGAGGTTTCCGCATAACACTGTACAACTGTAGTCTAGAGATGTTCCTGTATAACACTGTACAACTGTAGTCTAGAGAGGTTCCTGTATAACACTGTACAACTGTAGTCTAGAGAGGTTCCTGCATAACACTGTACAACTGTAGTCTAGAGAGGTTCCTGTATAACACTGTACAACTGTAGTCTAGAGAGGTTCCTGAATAACACTGTACAACTGTGGTCTAGAGAGGTTCCTGCATCACACTGTACAACTGTAGTCTAGAGAGGTTCCTGTATAACACTGTACAACTGTAGTCTAGAGAGGTTCCTGCATAACACTGTACAACTGTGGTCTAGAGAGATTCCCGTATAACACTGTACAACTATAGTCTAGAGAGGTTCCCTCATAACACTGTACAACTGTAGTCTAGAGAGGTTCCTGTATAACACTGTACAACTGTGGTCTAGAGAGGTTCCTGTATAACACTGTACAACTGTAGTCTAGAGAGGTTCCCTCATAACACTGTACAACTGTAGTCTAGAGAGGTTCCCTCATAACACTGTACAACTGTAGTCTAGAGAGGTTCCCTCATAACACTGTACAACTGTAGTCTAGAGAGGTTCCCTCATAACACTGTACAACTGTAGTCTAGAGAGGTTCCCGCATCACACTGTACAACTGTAGTCTAGAGAGGTTCCCTCATAACACTGTACAACTATAGTCTAGAGAGGTTCCTGTATAACACTGTACAACTGTAGTCTAGAGAGGTTCCTGTATAACACTGTACAACTATAGTCTAGAGAGGTTCCTGTATAACACTGTACAACTGTGGTCTAGAGAGGTTCCTGTATAACACTGTACAACTGTGGTCTAGAGAGGTTCCCGCATAACACTGTACAACTGTAGTCTAGAGAGGTTCCCATATAACACTGTACAACTGTAGTCTAGAGAGGTTCCTGTATAACACTGAACAACTATAGTCTAGAGAGGTTCTGGCATAACACTGTACAACTGTGGTCTAGAGAGGTTCCCTGAACACTGTACAACTGTACACACTGTACAACTGTAGTCTAGAGAGGTTCTGGCATAACACTGTACAACTGTGGTCTAGAGAGGTTCTGGCATAACACTGTACAACTGTAGTCTAGAGAGGTTCCTGTATAACACTGTACAACTATAGTCTAGAGAGGTTCCCGCATAACACTGTACAACTGTAGTCTAGAGAGGTTCCTGTATAACACTGTACAACTGTAGTCTAGAGAGGTTCCCATATAACACTGTACAACTGTAGTCTAGAGAGGTTCTGGCATAACACTGTACAACTGTGGTCTAGAGATGTTCCTGTATAACACTGTACAACTTTAGTCTAGAGAGGTTCCCTCATAACACTGTACAACTGTAGTCTAGAGAGGTTCCTGCATAACACTGAACAACTGTGGTCTAGAGAGGTTCCTGTATAACACTGTACAACTGTAGTCTAGAGAGGTTCCCGTATAACACTGTACAACTGTAGTCTAGAGAGGTTCCTGCATAACACTGTACAACTGTGGTCTAGAGAGGTTCCTGTATAACACTGTACAACTATAGTCTAGAGAGGTTCCCGTATAACACTGTACAACTGTAGTCTAGAGAGGTTCCTGCATAACACTGTACAACTGTAGTCTAGAGAGGTTCCTGCATAACACTGTACAACTATAGTCTAGAGAGGTTCCCGTATAACACTGTACAACTGTAGTCTAGAGAGGTTCTGGCATAACACTGTACAACTGTAGTCTAGAGAGGTTCCTGTATAACACTGTACAACTGTATTCTAGAGAGGTTCCTGCATAACACTGTACAACTATAGTCTAGAGAGGTTCCTGTATAACACTGTACAACTGTAGTCTAGAGAGGTTCCTGCATAACACTGTACAACTGTAGTCTAGAGAGGTTCCTGCATAACACTGTACAACTGTAGTCTAGAGAGGTTCCCGTCATAACACTGTACAACTGTAGTCTAGAGAGGTTCCTGCATAACACTGTACAACTGTGGTCTAGAGAGGTTCCTGTATAACACTGTACAACTGTAGTCTAGAGAGGTTCCTGTATAACACTGTACAACTGTAGTCTAGAGAGGTTCCTGCATAACACTGTACAACTGTAGTCTAGAGAGGTTCCCGTATAACACTGTACAACTGTAGTCTAGAGAGGTTCCTGCATAACACTGTACAACTGTGGTCTAGAGAGGTTCCCGTATAACACTGTACAACTGTAGTCTAGAGAGGTTCCTGCATAACACTGTACAACTGTAGTCTAGAGAGGTTCCCGTATAACACTGTACAACTTTAGTCTAGAGAGGTTCCGGCGTAACACTGTACAACTGTAGTCTAGAGAGGTTCCTGCATAACACTGTACAACTGTGGTCTAGAGAGGTTACTGTGTAGCATGCTCTCTGTGGTATAATCTTATTCATCATTTCAAAATGTCTGACACAGAAGGCCACAATTGTTTAGTCAGATCATGAATGTTGGTCTGTCTTTGTATCAACATATTCTACATTGTATGCAAGGAATGCAACGAAAATGGTCTTGCTTCTGCTGATTTGGTTGATGTTGTTATATTGAGTGAGGACAAGGGTACAGATAAGCTGCGTATCTGCGTAAATTACGCAAATATTCAATCCCTATTAAGTCTATTGCACACAAGTATGCTTGAGTGAGTGAGTTTAGTTTTATGCCACACTCAGCAGTATTCCAGCTATATGGCGGCGGTCTGTAAATAATCGAGTCTTGACCAGACAATCCAGGAATCAACAGCATGAACATCAAGTACACTTGAATTTTTGTAAATACTCAAAAACTGATCTTAGATGCGTGCATACAAAACTGTCAAATATGAGCTTGCGCGCTGGTGAATTAGTTCCTGTCACCAAACCTACTAGAATTTGGAGTAAGCAGCCAATGTGCTACAGATGGAGGTTACTGAGGATAGATAAAATAACAGAGGTATATTGAGAGGTTCTATTTCAACACATAGCTTGGCAACTTGCAGTCTTTCTTATCGTTTCTCATATTACACATCAAATATGAATAACAAACACATAAACCAACATTTGAACTTTAATATTTTTGTACAATGGAAAATGGCAAAACATCCAATTGAGTTTGAGTGAAGTGGGTACAATTGTTTTGATTACTCAAAGGAAAATTAGAATACCCAACTGAGATGAACACAAGCGAGTACATAACTCAATGACCCAAAAGGTTATCTGTAGCCCTGGTGAGGATGACTCAATTATTGTCCAAGGTGGCCTTAAATTGGTCAGGAGGCAGTCAGTGATGACCCCAAATTCTGGTAATATTTAAGATAAAACACATTCTTTTGAAAAAAGTAGGGTGTAATGAGCACAAGGTGTCACAACTATTGATATTTTATATCTTTCACCGGGACATCTTACTTTGATTTGCATTACTCACTGGCCAGAGAGCTCTAATGTCCATTACATTATTTCTCATGAAACGTCAAACTTCCAATGTCAGCATGGTTCATTCCATCTCATTCTTCCTGCAATGTAGCACCAAAGTTGTTCAGAGTGGTCAGTGGTTGTTGACAATGATGTACGCACCATCCAAGAACATCCCAGACATGTTTAAAATTGACAAGTCACAATACAAGCTGTGTGCATACAACAATGTCCCTGTCCCAGATGACACCACCTGTGCCTCCAGTATGTACTGTCAGTGACACACCTTACTCTAACACCTGTAGCTTGGTGAAGCTCATCTCCAAGCACCTCAGCCACAGTTTTGTAACACTGTCATTCTGATGAAATGGTCTTATGCACCAGTGGCGCCCTTGTTTGACCACATTGACATCTGTCATCATTGACTCATCAATGTTATTTGTCTGTCGATATTGTGATTGTAATTTGTGAAACGTTAAGAGCTCGTGTCACTTTGCTCTTGTTCCAGCTTCCAACATGCCAACTGCACAGAACTGTCCCTGACGTGACAGATGCTGCATGCAAAAATTGATCAACTCAGTTTCAAACAATATCAGAACAACTTTCAGTCTGCTTTCTATTACAGGAATGTACTGACATGTTTCACTGAAAATTTCAAAGTTTACCCTGACCATATTCATATGCATATCATGGAAAACACTTACATAAAATTGGCATGTTTACACTAACTTAATAACACATGAATGGAATAATAATTTTCTAAATCCATGTTCAATCATACAACTTGGTTCCTAAATAATATCATCCCATATTGGAATATCCCCAACCTTTTAATAGTTTATGTTATACCTGAAATATCAGGGTCTGTGGTTGAGTACGGCATATTGCCATAAAAAATATCCAAGGGCATAATGCTTCTAGTGGATAAAGATTAAAACATTATGTAACACGCTACTTTTACTACATTAATAGTATTCACATGTTGGGGAAGCTAGAGCACCTGATTGTTAAACCCCATACAGATTACTGCATGACATGATATCATATCACGATAGCATCCCGGATGACATTCAGCTTGTCATGTCACAATCATACCATGGCAGATCAATAATAGAAAATATCTATATATATCTTGTGTTCTATTCTCACAGTCTCCAGCAATCCATTCTTGTCAGACATGTTATTAAATGAATTATTGAGTACAGGTTTGAAAGCCCTGTCTTTTTCATGTCAATGTTATAACAAGTTTAAAATCAAATGAATTAGACATATTGTGTGTCAATGATCCTTGGGCTTCAGTCACAGCTTTGATTGGTCAAGAGTACCATTACTATTTTGATGAAATTTTGTGCAAAATTAATCAATAAATAAGTTCAGGTATGCAAAGAACATGTTATATTACAAGAGTGTAACAACAGTATTAACTTGCATAATTCAATATGGATTTGTTGACACTCTTTTTCCAAAGATTGATCATAATGAGAAGATATACAAAGGTTGTCGGTTTGGCTTATGTACTGGACATACCATTTTGATACTGATTTTAAGGGTCAAGTTAGGACCAGGGCTTATTCTATGAGATAGGCTTATCTATGGTCACATGTGGTAATTACTGCCATGATATAGCTGAGCGTGGCACTGAGCAACATTCAGCATTGTCTGTTATAGTACTATAGGCAGTGGTGCATGTGTTATTCAGTGCCAAGTGGGGTTCCTGGTGTTGAGATCAGCAGCTTCAGATACCACAGGTGCAGCTCTCAGACCTCTGACTGTGAGGTCACCATCTACTGGCAGGTATACACAAGGCTTTATGATAATGTTTCTCCTGATAAAGGAGTAATAATATAGTCATATTCTTTACAGTAAAGAAGTTTACATCAATACATTTTCCCCTTTCAAAATGCCATTCAAAGACATTAAGATACAAAAGGAAAGAGAGACAACAAACATGTTAATTCTATAAATGATATCTAAACCTTTTCACAAAATTACCATACCCATGTTCGTTGGTTTCACCTAAGCTGTACACCTGAGAGACATGTATCTCCTTGGCACTTTTGTCTGCATGAAAGTGAGACACTGTGATGTAACTGATATATTCACTCTCACTTTCTTTTTTCCATTGTTGTGATATTGCTGGAATATTGCCAACAGTTGAATAAACTCTACGCAATCGCTTATTCAATGTCTTCTTAAACCAACAGCCAGTTCCAAAAATGGAGTGTAATGGGGAGATAACTCAGTACCAGGTGACGCAGATCGACACAGAGTCGGGTCAGATGCAGGAGTTTGAGGTGGAAGGGTCAGACACATCACTTGACCTTGGGGTCAAGAAGGTCAGACAGTACTTGATCAAATTGAAGGCCAGGACTCTGGTTGGATATTCGGAACATTATACATCTCTGGTGATTCCAGCATACCAAGACAGTAAGCAAATGATTTTTTGAAAGTTCTGTAGACATCTCCAGTGGCTCATATACGAAAATCCACACGGATAAAAAAATCATCTATGATTCATCAATTACAAATTCCCTTACAAAGGCATTTTTGCTCAACACAAGAAACAATCATGCTGCACTTATCAGAGCTTATGCATCTTTCTTCCCTCCTCTCATTGCCGTAATCTTGTGATCAGGCAATCAGTAAATGTTAAAGCAGACGGTACATTATTATTACAGGCTTATTACACATGTATAGCTTTGTGCTACCTGGGTTCATGTTGTCCCTGGGGTGGTGGGGTAGCCTAGTGGTTAAGGCGTTGGCTCGTCATGCCAAAGACACAGGTTTGATTCCCCACATGGGCACAATGTGTAAAGACCATTGATATTGCTGGAATATTGCTAAAAGTGGAGTAAAAACTAAAACTCACTCACTCATGTTGTCCCTTGACATATTACAGAGTTGCCTCCCCCTACTAACATCTTGGTTGAGGCCGAGGGTTCTGTTCTGTACATCAGCTGGGGTCCCCCAGAACTCTCCCAGAACTCCCCCGAGGAGCGGATCCTTGGGTACACACTGTACTACTGTACTGGCTCCAAGTTCACATACAAATGTGAGGTAAGAAGTGAATAAACAGCTACACAGGCTGGTTAAAATTGCAGTTTGTTCTAAGATATCTGTGTGCACGAGCACGCTTGTACATGAAAATTGACATCAAATTTCTTTCAAATAAAGAAGCATTGTCATTGGACTAGTTGTTTATTTTGGGGATAGGGAGAGGGGTCATAGAAAAACTGTTACTTGCTTTTGTGGTGGTGGAGGAAGACAAAATAGTAGATGGATAAGGGGCATTAAAAATGTTACATAAAACTGGAGGGGAGCTTTTTAATGTAATTTCTTTTAAACAAATAAGTTATCTATTTCAACATTATCTAGCGACTGGTCATTTACTATGGGGTCAGTAGGGGGAAGGGGCATTAAAAAAGTTGGAGGGGAGCATTGTAATACAGCCCTAAGGCCATTAACTCCATTAATTCACATGCTTAAAATACCAAGGATGTTGCTGGTGTTGAATACAATGGGCTACTTGGGTTATAGAACACTGATTATTCTAAACTATTAACACTATGTACAGTAACGTAGGTGTTCAAAAGAAAGATCTACTTGGGTTACAGAACACCCATTATTCTAACCTATAAACACTATGTATTATAAGTAACACAAAAAGGTATTGTGCTTCATTGGGACATTTGGAACGACATCCTGAAGGCTGTTTCCATCATGTGGGGGTTTCAATGGGCCTCGACTGTTAACGCAGATGGTGGTCACAGCTGATGCTGACATTGTTAATTGAGTTGTTACTTTTTGCCCCTTTAGGGCATGCGACTCTGTCTCCTGTTACCCAGTATGGTTTGTCAATAAATCTGGGCACCATTGGACCAAATAACCTTAGCGCTTCGACAGTTGTCTGTGTTAAGGTATGGGGTTAAGGTATGGGGTTTATGACCACCTGAGCACTAAGATCGCTTTGTACAACAGTGCCCTGATATTATAAAACACTGATCAGGTGAATGACCAAATTTTAAGATGCTATCTTTAATAACACATTTACACTACTTTATATATGCAGCACAGTTCATTCTTTACTCTAGTCGGCATAGGTTATAGGGTATCAGCTGAACTCGAGGAAATGTTGTATGGAAATCTTTATCTAAATGCTATGTCTTGGATGTAGGCCTATCAGTTCAGTCAACACTTTACAAGTGGTGGTTTGAATCTTAGCTGGAATTCTCACTGTTGGTATCTCAAGTTTGACAACAGAAGAAAATAGTAACATTTTCAGTTTTTTATCTGCCTCATAAGATAAAAACAAACCCATCAACATATTAGCAGATGAGACAGTACTATGACATTACAAAATTTAGTTTCTGGTGAAAACAATATTTTTGTTAAATTCTGGTCATCATTACAATTATTATATTGAAAAGTTGATTTATGTAACTTTACCTTATTTACTGCACATTGTAAAGGTCACTGTATTTCATGCACCTCATATATGTCAAATTGTGTGTGTATATACTGCTGTAAATGACAAACCAAACTGTAAATTTGTAAACATGAAAACAAAAAAATATTAGCAAAGGAGGCTATGGGCTTTATCTATACTTACTACAGCTTATTAACATCCAAATAATAAAATAGTTTGTACACAAATCCAAATTGTATGATGTTTGAACTCTTATCCATTTTAATGGCAGATCTGACCTCTTCTTGAAATATATCTTTTTTTCCAATCCATCTTACAAGATACCTTTTTAAATCTATATGTAAACATCATAAATACACACAGCCTACTCTGTGAACTGAGAGACAGAATTCTATCAATGGTTCTCTGTGTACTTGTGAAAAGACTTGAAAGAAATCTGGTTTAGGAATTTGTAGGTCAACTCTCAAATTCAAACCTCACTTTCTACCCCAGGCCTGAAACCCCATAAAATATTTATGAATTAGCTGACTAGATCCAGACTGAGACAATATGATAATGATTATATTATCATCTAGAAACACATGACTAGTAGCTGCAGGCATGATTTGATTTGTATGATGGCTGAAGGCAACTACAAACAATCCTTATTGATATACCACATGAAGACACTGAAGTGAGTCTCTAACCGGCATTTTAATGACAGATTTTATTCATTACTTGGTAAACTTTTTATGTGCAAAAATTCTTGTTGGTAGGTGAAGACTAACAAATTTAGACAAGTTTTATTTTTGTTGATTCTCCATAAAGTCAATTATGGAGCAAGAGAGCAGTGTTTTCTTCTTTGATTGGCATTCTAGAAGTTGGGTAGATGAAGAATGAGGACTATTTTTATGGATATACAACTTCTTTATTTTATATAGGCGACGTTTCAACATAGATTCTAATGTCTAAATGGAGATGTGGCAGTCACAACCATCAACAGACTAAGTCACCACTTGCTGGACAACGACATTAGAATCTATGTTGAAACGTCGCCTATATAGAATAAAGAAGTTGTATATCCATAAAAATAGTCCTCATTCTTCAAGAGAGCAGTGCTTATAAGTCAGTTCATCTCACCATTTTACGTTTTGATATTTTATGATAGATATCTGCCATATATATTTTTTAACTTCTTTATAATTTTCATACAATAGATAGCATCAACACACAAACTTCCCTTTACATCAACATGGTGATAACCTATCAGCACGATAGCATGTGCCTCATCCTGTGGTGATCGGGTAAAAAATTTATTTTCAGGATCCTGTTCAGTGGCTCCACCTTCCCAACAATCAGACATCCTTCCAGTGGACAGTGCCTGGTGGTGACCTTGACAACAAGATGATTGGAATCTCTGTAGAGATGGAGACATCCAGACAGAAAGTCAGCAGTGGCCTGTTATGGAATCAGTGTGTGTACAGGCAGAAGGGTGAGTGCTTGACACAATGTCTTATATAAATAGTAACGTTCATGAACAGAGGTGAGGTGGGGATTAATATTGCATGTGTAAAGAAATGGGTTGGTGGGGGTAGGGGTTGTTTGTACCAGTGCAGACATATGACAGATTCATAGTGCTTGCCTGAGTTCTTTAGCTCACAGCAATACTGCATTATATACTGGCAGAATGTCAATAATCAAGTCTGGACAAACTGGACAAGACAATCTAGTGATCAATGTAATGAGCAACACTTCACACTGTTTTTGTATGACATGCCATCAACCAAGAAACGTTCATGTTTGAACTCAAATGTTTAGAACTCAGCTCTCAGAGCTCAAATCAAACAATTTGACTGTTAGAATGCAACTGCTAGTATTCAGCTGTGTCAGAGTACACAAGTCAGAACCTATTCAGAGAATGCTGTTCATCTGTAGCTGTGTCCCTGCATCATGCAGTGTTGTGTGGTCAGTGACTGCCCAGACCTGTATGTCTTTTCCTTTGAGCACTTCCAGATACTAGTGGTGACACCTACTGGATACTGCAGCCTTACATCACACCTGTAATGGCAGCTATGCTTACACATCTTAAATCTGGATCTATAAAGATCAAACTGGCCTCTGTTATATCATCCAAACCTTTCTCTACCTTCCATTATATTTCAGATCTTCTTCCTCCACATAATGTCCGTTTTTCACGCAAACAGCCTGACAATGGCCTCCAAGTTGACTGGGACAAGTTTGTGTGTGCAGAAGACCCTGTATATGTCAGCCACTTCGTGTTGTCTTACTGCGTCACCAACAGTCAGGCTGAATGTGCAGGTTGGTGCATAGGTGGATCGAGAAGGGAGTGCAGGGGTGTGCATCCCCCCCTTTTGTCCTTTCATTGCTATCATATAGTTATTTCATGAGCTTAAGGGGCAGTGGGGTAGCCTAGTGGTTAAAGTATTCGCTTGTCAATTACCCACATGAGTACAATGTGTGGAGATTATTTCCAGTGTCCCCCTCCATGATATTGCTGGAATATTGCTAAACTGGCATAAAACCCAACTCACTCACTCACTATTTCATGACCTCAGAACTGATGATATTATGAAATTACTACATTTGTATAAATGACATAGATGTAATTTTAGGGCCCACAGTGAACCAGATTTGTCTAATTATCTATGTGTATCTTATGAGGCAACAGTGAACCAACTATCCAACAAGCACTATTCACCTTACAGGCCCCACAGTCAACCTGACTTAAGTATCAATCTTTATGTAAGTTATTCTCCTCAATGTGGACCTAACTGTATTTAGGGTGATTTGAGGAGACTGATGTTTGTCAGTATTTTCAGATCCACCTTTGCAAGTCAACGTGTCCAACAAAGATGTGAGCCACATAATCCAGGGACTGTCAGCAGGAGTGAAGTACAGGGTGACTCTCCGGGCGGTGTCCAGGACAGGGGAGGGGCCAGACAGCGACCCTATCATCAAAAAGGTGACAAAAGGTAATGCCGACTGAAACCAAGTTATCTAGTTACTGTAACTTTGTCTTGTCTACATGCCATAACAAGTGCATGAATTAAAACATGTTAACTTATGTTGTTGCATACACATTTAACAAGTCAGAGGAAGGTGCTTGCACTGAAAGCTGCAACTGTCTATATAAGCAGGGTTGGAGAGGGAGAGTTAGGCATAATCAAGGTTTGCATCCCAGTTTAGGCTGATGTAACCGTTATGTGACTGGAATACTGGTCAAAGCCATTCAACCTGACACACTCACTCACTAAATAGCTTGCCTGTGCTTCATGATTAAGGATAAGGAAAATAGTATAACAACATCATTTATGTAACAAAGTTGGTTAGCTTGCCTGTGCATTTTGATAAGTGGTAAGGGAAGTAGTACAACAGTATCAGTTATCTTTAATATTGTTAGCAGTGCATTGTGATTATTAATAAGGAAAGTAGTAGAATAACAATATCAGTTATCGACTCAAGTTTGTAGTTACCTGCTTTCAGTTATAAGCTTTATCAGAACATAGCCAGCAATATCATATATGTACTTGTTGTACCCAGGAAAATACTCTTGTTATTTAGTTACATGTGACATTTTTCCTCAATAATCACCCTAGGCCCCCTAAAAATTGACATTGCTTATTTTCACCATACAAAGCAAGTTAAATCTGCTGTCGGAGATTGAGCAAGGGGAAGGAAATTAGTTACATTTCAAAGAAACATTTCAGAGTATAGCTACCAGGCAACTGTACACCCGCTGCAGGTTTTCTGGAAAATATATGTGTAATATACACATAAAAAGATGGAATGTGTTCATTTTTTTAAATATTACAGGGCACTTACAAAGATTACTTGCATATTAGCAAAGACGTTGCAAGGTCCTAGGACACATAATACTGCTTGAGTTTACTCCCTGTACAGACACCTTTTAGTTTGTAACTGTGACACTGGTTTCTACTTTCAGCTGCAGGTTACATGTGGGTGGTGGTGCTGGTAGTGGTGCTGGTACTTGTCCTCATGGTGTTGGTCTTTTGTGTTTGCTACTGGTGAGTAGATGTGATGCAAGATTGCTATGGCAGGTTCCCAAGCCTTTAGGTTGTTCTTACTGATGATGCATAGAAGTGTATTACTGGTAATAGATTTGTTTGTCGGTGTCTATGGAAGGAGTTTGAGAGACAGAAATACATTTCAACAGACAAATGTGTAGAGATTTGTGATAGGAGTAAGACAGACAAATGTGCATTCACAGATACATTTGTAGACATTTGTGAAAGGAATATGAGAGACTGACAGGAACATTAACAGATATATTGGTAGGGATCTTTGACCATGTGTATGGAGATGTCTCGTAGAGAAAACCAGAGAGCATGTCTATACAGATTTGTGCATGTGTTGTTTATACCACACATTTTTGCACACCTTGTGTTTAAAGCCAGTCTGTTTGTATCTGCAGGAAGGTACGCAAGGTGACAAAGAAAGGATTCTACTTGCCTGTCGAAATGCCTGAGTTTCCTCCATCACAGGTGTGTACTAGATATATGTATACTAATGTCCATGTGGCAGTGATACAGCTATTCTGAGAAACGGCTTGGTCACTTTCGTTGAATCATGGAGGCTATTAATTTCTTGATTACTGTATCATATCGACTCAACAAATATCCATTTGTGTTAGAGCTTGAGTGATTTAAGTGTTGAGTATGCACCAGGTTTTAAACAAAGACAATCACTACAGGAAGATGAAGCCAAATCTGCCTCTTCATCATCTTTTACCTCTGTCCTTCTATCAGTTGTATATGTTGTCTGTTTTACAGATTACTGCAAGTATTGGGCAACATGAATGTAATCCAAATGCCGTAGTTGAAGATAACAACAACAATTCAACAAAGAGGGATGTGTGTGTCTTTCCTGAGACAGTTTTTCTGTCACACATGGAACATCAGGATCAGAGTTCTACTTCTGGATCAAGAGCAAAGAGCCACATGAAGCTACACAGAGAAGAGGGAAGCTCTTCAGATGCAAGTGCAAAATTGTCCTCAACGGGAAACAAATCTGTAGAAACTTATTCAAAGGTAGACTTGCCAAGCGTGTGTACAAACGCAGATAACATGTCTGCCTGTCTGTCCAATCAGGACTGCCTAATTTCTGGACAGAATTATTCACCCGAGATGGAGGTTCAACTTGGGTTTATGTTTGCTTCATCACCATTTCCATTCCATGTCCTCAAAACTCAGTCACCCACGCTCCCCACTCTGCCACCCACACTCCACCCTCAGTCACTCAAACCCCACAATCAGCCACCCACACCATACATTCAACCACACACACCCAAAACTCAGTCACCATCACCCCCCGGTCTGTCACCCACACCCCACAGTCAGCCAACCACACCATACATTCAGCCACCCACACCCCCAACTCACTCACCCACACCCAACATTCAGTCAGCCACACCTCACACACTGTCACCCACACCCAATGCTAAGCCACCCACACCCTACCCTCAGTCACCAACACCCCACACACCGCTATCCACACCCAACACACAGTCACCCACACCCCATGCTCAGCCACCCACACCCCATGCTCAGTCACCCACACCCCACACACCGTTATCCACACCCAACATACAGTCACCCACACCTCAGCCACCCACATCCCACCCTCAGTCACCCACACACCCCGCTCTGTCACCCACACCCCACAGTCAGCCACCCACACCATACATTCAGCCACCCACACCCCACGCTCAGCCACCCACACCCCACCCTCAGTCATCCACACCCTACACACCATCATCTACACCTCACACACCGTCATCACCCACACCCAAAGCTCAGCCTCCCACACCCCACTCTCAGCCACCCACACCCCACTCTCAGTCACCCACACCCTACCAACCATCATCTACACCTCACACACCGTCATCACCCACACCCAAAGCTCAGCCACCCACACCCCACCCTCAGTCACCCACACCCCACACACCATTACCCACATTTAACACACAGTCACCCACACTCCCCACTCAATCAAACACACGTAATTCTTTTACCACAGACCCTTTCTCACTTGCTCATCTTCCCACTGGCCCATCTACACAACCCCAAACTCCTCCTACTGTTACAAGAGCCTATCTATCAAACCCCTTTGTCCCTCCTTCACATTCACAAGCTCCTCATAATGTTATCACCCACCAATTGTCAAACCCTTTCCAACCCTTCACCTCACCCACACAGTCACAAGCCACTACAGCTATTGCCACATGTCTCCCACCCAGCTGTCCCCCTGCCACACCCCTACCATCATGCACCCCCACCCAAGCTCCCTGTGCAGGGTATGTGAGCCATGAGGAAGCTCTGAATCTGTGTCAAGCCAAGAATCATCATGAATGATGAAACAGATACCCGATAGTCATTCCTGGACAAGTGGGCCATCTTACAGGTTGCCAAAATACACAGCTGGGCCTGGTTCTTCAAAGCGATCGTAGCGCTAAGATGATTTACATAGATTTACGACTCCGCTACAATCGCTTTGAGGAACGGGCCCTGAACTTTTTCTTACATCATATATTCACTTACCAAATGGTATATGTTCATTTTCTTTATATCACCATCTGCATCTATAGAAATGAAATCAGCCAGACCCATCACATGTGTAGTTTAGAAAGTTTAAGGCCAGCAACAGGCTGTTTCTGTCTCGGATGGTAGGGCAGGCAATTACTTAAAGTATGCCGTCTGTAATACCCTTCTTGGAAAAAAATGTTGAAACCGTGTCTGGAGTAGAACTCAGAAAGTGTTGTAATGAGGACCATACAAAATGATCAGAACAAAAGAACTGCATTCTTATTAAAATTTACACATAGAAGAATAAACTGTATTTAGATTTCTGAGCATCAACAAGCCACAAGTTGTTCTAACTGTTGTTATCTCATCTCTTTCGTGGGCATTTGGTTGGTTGATGCAGAGGTTACCATCAATATTTCTGTACATCATACCCTAATATTCATAACCTAGATTACATTTGACATTGTGCATAGACAATCATGATACAATGTCATATCATTTCACTGTAGAGCATAAGAACTTGTGACTTCCCTGTCATAGCCTTTGTAGACAGTAATATATTGACTAAAACTTTCTTAGATAATGTATATACACCCTAAAACTTTCCTTTATATTAATATACACATGCACACACATCCTTAGATATTGATACACTGACTAAATCTTTCTTAGATATTGGTACATTGACAAAAGCTTTCTTCAATATTGATACACTGACAACGCTTTCTTAGATATGGTACACTGACTAAACCTTTCTTTGATATTGATACATCGACAAAAGCTTTCTTAAATATTGATACACTGACTAAACCTTTCTTAGATATTGATACACTGACTAAAGTGTTGTTAGTAATTTACTGACCTAAGATACTGGCAAATACTTATTGCTTGGGCATGTCCCATACATTACCTCAGGTTGATCAAGTGTGGTGGGCATTGAAGAGGACAATCTCTCTGAACCTAACTTCAGGTGTTTGTCTATAATTTGCCATCCTTTGGAAAGGTTATGCGCTCAAACTGCTCAAACAATTTGTTTTCTTGATTGCCACAGACAAAATATGAAACAGATGTAGTTTATGTTCACTAGAGATCAGTGCTGGAACTACAAACAAATGTTTATATTTACTGTTTTAACCATTTTTCTGCTAGATTTGCTGATCAATCAAACATTGTTGAGTATTTTAATAACACAGGAAAATATGGTTTAAGTCCAAATATATCTGAAGTAATCTGATGCCTTATGTAGCACGATTCCCGTGGAACTGTGAAAACTGTGCATGTGTCATGATCTGTCAGTCAGTGGGACATGTGAATATCTATCACTGTGCATGTTTGTATCTGCGAAGATCTGTCAATCTTTGTTCACTGCAGATGCTAGTAGAACTATGTATGTGTGGTACAATTTTCATCTTTGCAACTGAGTAGCTGCTACGATTGTTTTGACTGTCTGTGTGTAACTATTTCATCTGTGATAAGATAAGATAAACTTTATTGTCTCTCAAGGGAAATTTGTCATGCATTCAAAGAGCCAATACAATGCATATAACTTTCATGCCACATCATTGATATCACAATTACAATTTGGGAGGAAGAATTTAAAGTTTTACACTGTATGGGACAAATGACTTAAAAGTTTTTTGAGTTTTGTAATACATTATTTTGAAACCGTGGCCAGAAGGCAGTAATTCATAACATTCATTTAATAAGTGTGATGGATCCGATTGAATTGCCAGAGATTTCATTTTCTCTCTTGGCTCATAATGAAAAGGAAGAGTTACGAAAGAGAAGCCTCAAATTTTGCTGGATATGTTTATAATTTTGTCATTTTTGTTTTACTGTGTAAGAGGAAGATTGCCATACCATGCACATATGATTGTCTATCTGTGAAGTTTATCTGTCTTTGTTCACAGTGCAGGATAGTCTGTGTATGCCTATTTTCACCTAAACAGCTATCCTGCATTTACACTTATTTATATCTTATTTATTTGTATTTACTTTTACTGTAAAACTATCATTTGAATAAATAACTTAACAAAGAAATAGATGCTTGTGTTATTTCTGAGATACTACATCAGACATTAATAAGAATTTTGGTTTGTTGTTTAACGTCGCACTCAGCAATATTCCAGCTATATGGCGGTGGTCTGTAGATAATCAGGTCTGATCACACAATCCATTGATCAACAGCATGAGCATATATGTAACAAATAGTTTAAGACAATAATCTTATTATTTCTGATCACAAGTTTAGGGATGTTCACCTGGGGCGGATCCAGGATTTCAAAGCAATATTATTATTATCATTATTATTATAGGATATTTATATAGTACACATATCCATGCAACTGGTACATGCTCAAGGCGCTGGTATTTTTTCCCCTCGATCACTGGATGTCAGTCTCAACAGCACATAATACTATTAATCTCAACTCTTCCAGCCAGTAGGCACACAAAGTTATTGTGGCTTTCTCATCCAACGAGGTACCCATTTACAGCTGGGTGGACTGGGGCAGTTTCATTGCTATCAGTTTCATAGTTTCACAAAAAAGCATACATAGTAGTTTTTAACATTTAAAAATATTTTAACTACATATGGATACAATGTTTACCTGTAAAAAAATATATAAATATCTATGTTTCTTGATAATGTTTTGTGAATTGATAAAAACGTGCATTTATGTATTTTAATGCACGTCAAAGCGACATTCTTTGTATGACGTCCTTCAACTTGGACATAATGCAAATATTGCAATATATATGATTTCCAAAGAGTATTGCTGTGTTAGCTGTGATTTCTGCTGGCATACCTGTGCATAGGTGAACATTCTGTACTCGTAAAATAATCTTAAATGCGACGATAAACTCCATTTCCCCTCAACACATTTCAACACCCTACTTGCCATTGGGGTATTTGGTAACTGTTGTAATAAAACTTACATCACAGCTATTTTCAAATTGATATTTTAATTTCCGGTTTTATTGATTTTGATTTTTCTGATAATTCCTTGTAGTTGACCTCCATGTGCAGCCTTGGATGTTTTTGCCTCCTGCATGTTGGCTGTGGAAGGCTAGAGACAATATTGCACCATATGAGAAACAAGTCTGGATCATCAGACATGCCACTCACTCACAACACAGACATGGACTATCCATATCTTCCAGAAACAAAAGAAAGCAGTTCATTAAAATAGAATAATATAATGTAAAACAAAATACTGAAAACAGTGACTGGTGATCTAATTCTATGATGCCTTCTATTCAATGAAAACATTATAATAGTAACTGTGTTTACACAAGTTATGAGCTCTACCATAAACTGTTAAACAACTCTTCCTAATCCTGACCCTTCCTCAATATTTGGTCTTATGACAATATACTTATATAAGAACATACACTTAGAATGATTAAGATGCTTCAACAACATGACTTAACTCTTCAGACTTCCACAACTAAACTAGTAAAATTATGGGATTATTACCACTGAGTGTTCTCAGAGTGAGTAATGAGGGAGATTAGCTGTGTGTGATTCACTGCCCTTCTCACACACCTTCATCAGTAACCCGCACTATTTGACTTGTTGAGCAATGGCCATTGAATAAGTTAAAGCAAAAGCTTTCCCCAACAGACAGCATAGCGTCAGTACAACAATAAACATTCACACCTGGCATATTTGCCCATGGCAACAGGACAGGGAGGGTTACCTCTGATTAATACAAAACTCTGACTGAAAGAATCTTAATGGTATAAAGGGACACCATTCAAGATTTTACTGTGACCCACATAACGGCCATAATATTATAACTTGCCTGGAAGTTGGATGTTACTGTGTATTACGAAGCTATACCACATGGTAAACATGTTTTGTTATATATATTTTAATCTACACCATACACAAAAATATCATTAGTGTTTCTAGAATTAACTCTTATTCTCAAAGCACAATTTCGTACTATGCCTGCGATTACAATGCTTTGATTATACTATTTAAAAAGTTGTTGATCTGAATGATTCTACTGATTCTGTTAATTTGCGTCTTCAATAGATTACCCTATGCCTTGATTGATCCTATCTAAGTCTTGCCCAGATAAAGATCCCTGGCTGTTTTACTGAGGATTTTCAACAAATCACTTCAGACATTCCTTCAACACTAAGTGCCACACTGTCATATTACGGAAATACTGCTAAACACTGCTTCAGAAACAAGTAACCCTTAACAGGATAATTAGCATTGAGCATGGTGTTTTAATTGCTATCCTGTTTGTTTGATGTTTGATGCCAGATGTAGCAATATTCAAGCTATATAATAGAGGTCTGTAGATTATCAAATTTGGTTCAGACGAACAAATGGTTGATATTATTTGCAGTTTTAGCAATATTCTTGCAAAGCCATGACAGGAGCCTTAAGAATCGGCATCCTAGCATTGTACCCATATGGGGATTCAAACACCTCAACATTGTTGCTACCCATCCACTGCTTGAACACATTAAGTCTCCTTTCACTTTATTTAACTCAGTCCTTCTGACCAACTGATGACTTCTTCCTTATGTCTAACTTAACTTTCAGTTCAAATTATCCAAGGAAATTATTTTTACATTAAACCTCTTTTCACATATGCATTATTTAATATATTTCTAAAGGTTGTTATCATGAATAGTATCAGGACGGAAAATGTTATTTATAATGGATAGATAACATAAGGAAGCACAACCTTGACTCTGTGGAGACTTAATGCACTTTGCAGGCGGAAGCTACCATTGCCCCCAGTCAGCATGTCTTTCAAACCAGAAGTGCTGTTACAGTCACTGCCTGTGATTACAGTTGAGGTGATATTGTCTTTCTGAGGAAGGATATTCTAGCTGTGCCAGTCTTTCTTGTTGGGACCACTGTCTGAAGTTGTAGCATCACCTGTAGATTGTGCTAGAACCGATGTCTACAGTTGTTGCCAGCCCCACCTATAGATTGTGCTGGGACCACTGTCTGATGATGCTGACTCTCCTGTAAATTGTGCAGGGACCACTGTCTGCTGTTGTAGCAACATCTGTAGAATGTACTTGGACCACTGTCTGATAATGTAGACTCACCTGTAGATTGTGCTGAGACCACTGTCTGCTGTTGTAGACTCACCTGTAGATTGTGTTGGGACCACTGTCTGATGTTGCCTTACCTGTAGATTGTACTTGGACCACTGTCAGCTGTTGTAGCAACATATGTAAAGACCTGGGTCCTGGATACACCACCAACAATGAGGCTTCTGATACTGCTTTGTGTATGGTGCACCTACAGTCACCAGGGGATTGATGGTTCTACCTCTGGTCAAGGGGAGACTGGAATAGGTAAGTAGACATGCTTTAAAGGAGTAACTCAAGGGCTATGAATGGGATTGATTGACTAAGTTTGGTTCCTGGTTAACTGTAATCAAAACACACTCTTAACAAAAAGTTTGCGGATCCTGTCCTGTGTAATTCTCCTCCATTCTTCCTACAATATGATGACCTGTTGTGCAAGTATATGTGGCATAGGTTGATGCTGACGTAATTGAGTTCCACAGATGATAAGGATGGTCATGGCAAACACTGATGTTTGAATTATGAAGGAAGTTATCTGTGATACAAGCTGAGTGTGCTACTGTATTGGCATATCGAAACAACTCCCTCTGTTGGTTGATAATCACGAATAGGTGATGACAAATTTGGTCCATGTGCCAATTTGCCATCATATTCTCCTGAACTAAGACCAAGCCAGATTTCTGTATATCAGATAAAGCTCCCTAGACCACCACACTTCCGTTACTGAATCTCAATTCAGTCAGGAGGGTCACAATTTCTTTTCATTTTGCCAAGATATCTCCAAATACACTTCTAGGCAGCACACTATCACATTATGTTGTCTAGCCTCACTGAGATGACAAGTGAGTTTCTGTTTTATGCTGCTTTTAGCAATACTCAAGCAATATCACAGCAGGGACACCAGAAATGGGCTTGTACCCTATGGAGAATTGAACCCAAGACTTCGGTGTCACAAGCGAATGCTTTAACCATGAAGCTATGTTATTTGTTGATGTTGAATAAAGAGTATTAGATGTCAGGTGCCCAACCATGTCACCGAGTCTGCCTTTCAGATTCCTTTAGTCACCTTTTAGAACAAGTGTATTTTACTAGAGAGTGGTAAATTATTCCCTAAATCTCCATGAGTATAGCAAAGATGTTGTGTCCTGATGTTGAAGGAACAGTGACAGTATCAGGGTGGGGAGATGTCGGCGTGCCCAATCAACAGCCTCTGACTCTCCAATGTAACTACACTCTGAGTCCCGGGGAGAATGTGACAGAGTTCCGCTGGAGCAGAGTGGAGGGTGGCAAAACTGTGGACATAGTCAGGGGCACAGTGGATCCACCTACAGCTACATTCATCGACTCCTGGAAGAACAAGGGATGGTTTGCTGGTGACTACACATCCTCTCTGGGCATCGTACTGGAAGCTATTCATGTGACATCCAGTTATGCAGGGACATACAGGTGTACTGTGCGTGGGATGTCCGGTGCTGCTGCTGATGTGGATGTTGCTGCTTCCATACTGAGTAAGTATTGCAACAGTCAGTTGTGTTTACACTTCTTTCAAAAGCATGTTGCTAATACTGTTGCAAGCAATATTCCAGTCATGTAAAACATAACCAGTAGTTAATAAAGTTTGGACCATGCAATAATACACAATCAGTTATCCTGCTTGACAACACATCTCTCTGTTAGTCTCTTATGACATTCTTGGAAGACAGAAACAAATTCAGGGGCATATGATGTCAGGTTTCTCAAAACTGAAACTTTGCTAATGGTTTTCACTGAAGAGGTAAACCTGCATCCAATTTTCAAACTCAGTCATGATAGGTGACTCTTTAAAGCCTGCAAAGTTTCATTCATAGTTTCTTAAATTCTTTTACAAAAATACCGTAACATCCAAAGGAACAGGTTTAGAATGGGTTTGATAAACACGTCAAGTTTCATAATAAAACTTTCATGCAATTAAAAGTTACGCTCTGAATTAGAAACTGTACAGACAATATGTTACAGATAATAATTAATGAATTAAGCCTCAGTTTCATAAAAGAATATATTTTGAAAAGATGAAATACCATTTATAAGGTAGAAAAAGGCTACAGTCAGTAATTGTAATCCATTGTTTCCATTTTCACTCATTTCTTGTCCACTAATAGGACGCAAGCTGAGCAACAGTCGACAGTCATTTTTATATGAGGTAAACCCCCAGATATCTAGCTCACTACTGAGTCAGTATTCATTAGGGCATTGACCTGTAGGTTACATTTTGTACAAGTGGACTTTGATAAGTTTTTTGTGTTTATAGATAATTTGTGTGTGCACCTTGTAAATCTGCTTATCTGCAGGCAATGGTACACAATATGGTGTAAGCCCTACCTGTAGTGCTAATAATGAGCCACATGAAAAGAGTAGTCAAAAGTGGACACTGATTGTTTCAGTAAAGGAAAAATACAACACTAAAAATGGTTGGTAGGCAAATTACATACCATGGAATCACATGCAATGTGTATGTTGCTATTACATGACACACTCAGCAATATTCATGCTATATGAAAATGGCCTGTGAATTAAGCCTGGATTAGAGAAAGCACTGATGGCCACTGAAATTATGAAGAAGCCAGGCTGTCAGGAAAACTGTGACATGCAAGTCAACCAGGTCAATCTTACAATCAGCACAGGTTGCTGGGGATCTGTTCCAACCTGGAATTCCAACTGGTAGCAGTACACAATTCGTATACGTTTGAGAACCTTTACACTGAAGGATAGTGGGGATTATCTGGAAATTAAATGGGATTTTCAGATAAGGATATGATCTCATGAATTTCATGAATTCCAGGAATCATTAGCATTTCATCTTCCTGCGGCAAGGCTGTTAATTTACTGCAAAGGTACAGTTTCTACCAATGCTGAAATAGGGTGTAATGTTGCGGCTCATTTGAAGCATCATACGTGGCTATTACTAGCTATGCGCCTTGTTTGTCTCTCCTATTAACCAATCATAGGAGTTATTCTATGACTCATGGCAACGATGAGCTCATTTAATACTTATTGTAATAACATGGATGTTAAACAGACAAAGTGATTAAAAACACTTGAGACTGTTTTATAACAACCATGAACTTAAAACAATATCTGTTGATGCCCAGTTATTGTAACAATGATTTGCAAACCCTGATTAAATCAGCAGTTCAGTTACCATGTTCTTAGCGAGCCTCATGCTGATCCCATTACAAGATTTTGATTGGACTGTGCATAGATTCATAAGGCCAGCCAACAAACAACTCAGAAATTCCAGACTAGCTTGTCAAGGGTGAAAACAGGACTTCAATAATCAATTTACTCCCTTGCCTAAGGAAGATGAAATATTGCATGAAAATGTATTGACATGATGAATGTTTTATACTTACCGGTATAAAACAATTGTACACTGGAGTTGAGTCATGAGTTTTTTCCTACATTGGTATAACTCTGTGAACTAGTCATGGTGTATCTATGAACTATTAGCTGCCGCTTATGTTCAGAGTTGCTAAAAACTACTTGTAATTGAAAGTTTGTCTCAGAAAAACATGCCTAGCTAAGGACATATTAATCTGTGAACGTTAGAGAGTATTCTTTGCACATAGTCTTACATTGTTTTGTTCAAAATCTTGTTTCAATAAAGGAGACGTAAATGTTTCTTTATCAAAATATGCAAAATGACAAACACACTTGGGAAAGAAATTATTTACATTTCAAGCCCAGCATAGCATAAAACCCTCTGTGTGTTCTCTGCAGGCTCATGTAGGTCAGCATAACTACACAATTACATTGTAGTTGGTAATAAAAACATTTTTATCTGAAGCCTTAGCAGATGAAATAAGCTGTTTCCTGAGACAAATTATGTTCAACACAGAGACACATGAGACCAAGACATGCTGTTTACAATGTAACTACTGATTTTCAGAATGGGAATCTGTTTCACAAGGATTTTGAAGTATTTCTGGCCTGTTAAAGTCATGATAGAAGATGCCCCCTCCGCACTTTGTGAAAGCTGTGTAATTAAGCATAATGTGGGTCAGTCCCTCAGCCAGAACAGTGGACAAACAGAATTTATTGTCCACCTGCTTATTATCAAAGTTCCTTCCCCTTTATACAAGCTGCTATCAATCTCTTTTTACATTTGCTATTTTCATCAGATCATTATAACAAAATACAAGTTTGCACCTATTCATGCATGATTTAATATGCTGTATCTGAAGACATTTTCCACTTGACTTGTGCGTGAGGTCTTTATAAGTGACCTACATAAGTGAAATACATACATATTAGTAGACAGCTGTCATGGTGTCAGTTTGTTGAAGGGGAAGGGTCATCTCTGTATAGTCAGGGAGGTGCTGGACTGAAAGTCGCCAGGTCACATCTCACCATGCACCATAGGAATGCAGAGGCCTCAATAACAGCACTTACCATGACAACAGTTCAACTCTGACACATTTTTTTGTACCCACATTTTTTAATGAGAGCAAATATTTTACTGATTATAAACAGTAAAAAAATTCAATATCTCTTTAAGGTCCGGTAATTTCATATTCAAAACATAAATGGCATCTTTAATTAAATAAATAACCTACTATCATTGTAAGCTCTCTTGTGATGACGTGTTCACATGTCCTGCTCTCACATGAATGAAAAATGACCAAACATGAATAAAACTCAAAAATTTTAACAATTTGAATGACATATTAATCTTTTGGACAAATAACTTAAAATTTGCTAGAGCTTCTCTGTGGAACAAGGTTCCATGCATTTATCTGACTCCTTCTGTCAGCTTTGAAGACAAATCTTTAGACATACCTAGTTCAAAGTAATATCATTTTTACATAACTTCTTTGAGAGCCATTTTAGAAGTTACGAAATACAATGATGACAAAATTATACTTCATAGGTATGAGATTTGCTACAGAATCTTGTGCCTCTGTCTAGCAGGAAACACAACTTGACAGTGCTACATTACTGCTTGACAACAGTATAAGAATCTGTATCCAAACATCACACTTGTGAAATCAAAGAAGTTGTTATCTATATAAAAAAATGTCATTATTGTACTTTTCCATAGCTCCCAAAGCAGTTACTTTGGGGTGAAGTTTGGCACACAGAAAATGGACTTACTATTTCACTTCATCTCACTGTTAATCAAATAATTAGAGAGAGCAGGATTAATATAACACTCTTATTAGTGAGTGAAATCACCTAGCAGCTACATCAGGGATGCTGGGGAGGTGTAAGGATGTGTAGTCAGTCAACCACTTTCACATTCACTGTTACACACACAGAGACACACACAATTAGCTTATAATCCCATTCATTTTTATTCTAAGAGCCAGTGAAACACAACTCATCTGATTACCACTTCATCATCTATGATTGGGAGCACACCATTTTCATTCAAATGTCCCCAAGTGAAACAGCATCGTAGCTCACCTGGCGATCTACTCACCAGCTTAAACTTAACAGAAGCTGCTGTCCACAGGAACAGTCATAAGTATTTTTTTCAATATGGCTGCTGAGGTGGCCATATTGAAAATCAGTTACAAACATAATGGGGCTCATGATTTGTGGGTACAAACATTTTTAGTTTCAGTTTCATAGGTCAAGAAGTCATTTACAACCATTCAGACAATCAAGTGACTGATGAACACACTAATCTCTATTTATTTTTCAAGTGCCTTTGCTACTGCCAAATTTCCATTGAAATATGAAACTGAAAGGATAAACCATGAGAACGGGTTCAAATGTCTTGGACAAAAGCCATTTTACTGTCAACAAGCTGAGTAAAGCAAACACTAGGTTACGATATAACAATTTATATATGACCAGAGTTCATGAGGTACATCCAATCATTGTTAAGCACCACTAACAATAGATTGATTCCGTGAAAAAAATCAGCAACATTAAGATGAGTCATAAATTGACTTACCGTATATGACCATAGATAAGCCGAATTTTAAGCACCCAGAAAAGCAGTCTGTAGAAGGCGGTTGGTTTATCTATAGGTTACAGTTTCATCAAACTTATTTCTGTTCATTAGAAAACGACATTGTAACTACATAGTTAACAATATCATATTTTTTGTTGAAATCTTCATAATCAAAGTAACATCATATTTCTGCTTTCTTTTCACAGCTCTTGCACCAGATGATGTGCGCCTCCTCATGGGTGATGTGGTGACCTTGACCTGCAGTGTGACCTCTGATACATCAAATGCATCTAACATGTATTTCACAAAGAGACATCAAAATGATAACACCACACTTCATAAGTGGAACATGTGCCATAACATACCTAGGAAGACGAGATACATGCAGAAACCAGTCAGCAGTCAGCATGTAAAAGTAATCAACTCTACGACCATTCAACTTCAGTACAAGACCAAGGTATGATTTCTTCTCTGAGGCTCAACAATAATATAATATATAACAACAATAAATAAATTGATGAAAACGCATCTCAAGAAAGCTAAAAGAATTTATGTTAAAACTGAAAACTAAACTATATGCATAAGTTTTATTTGTAGTGTAGTTGCTGGAAAATAATTTTTATTTGCAATGCTAATTGTCATTAGGATTAACTGTCACATATTTTCTGGCTTGTCACAGCATTTCTCTGTTATATTTGGTTGTTCGCTGATATACTAGCAATGTTTTCTTTTTCTGTTAACCCTACATGATGACTCATAATGATATCTTTGCAGGAAGCCAAAGTTGATGAAGGTCTCTATCGTTGCTACTTATGTGAAAATAACAAACCACATGCAGCCCTTTCTTATATCAAACTGTACAGTACGTGAACTTGGGTCATTTTCTCTGTAAAACTTTTACTATTTGTTATTCAAGGGGCAGTAAGGCAGCACAGTGGTAAATGCGTTCTCTCACACGCTAGTATTGGTAAACTGTGACACAACTCTAATTTGCTGAAAGTGTCATAAAACCATACTGACTCACTGAATGGTAAACTTGGTAACAGAAGAAGTTGGGCAAGAGATTATTCATGTGATTTCCAACTTAATTTACCTAAATTGTTTTTCACAGATATAATAGAGTCAGTACAGCTCACAATATTTTTTGTTGCCAGGGAGAATGGAGGCGGTAACAAATGTGTCGTGTGTGGTGGACAACTGGTCAACCATGACATGCAGCTGGCCACCATCCGCTTCAGATGCTACACTTGCTATACTTAGTTGGGGCACAAAGTGAGTGAAGGATTATTATATGTTGTACATAAACTCAAAGACAAATAAATATTAGTCACTGGTCCAGACTCATTTACATGCCATGGTCACATAGCTGGAATATATCTGAGTTTGGCATTAAACAACAAACAAACATTCATTGTCCTTTGTTGATACCTGACATGATTGACATTCCAGTGGTGTTGCCAGCCAGCTTTGTGTTGATGACAAAGTTCCTGGATCTTGTCACTGGCCAGCAGAACAGTTCAGCATGGGAAACCTCTACACAATAGTTGTCAACATTACTACAACATCTGACACTGGTGACTTCCTCGATGTGAAAGTGTCAGATCAGTTTGTGTTTAACACAAGTGAAATTGGTAATCATTTTGTCAATACAATTTCCTACTATCCTCAGTTATTTTTTTTAGAATATTAAATAATATCATCAAAATCCATCATGGAGATTCTGGGATAGAATATATCCAAGGCAATGTATGCTGGCTGTAGCTGTGACTGAATCCTTTGATTGGATGGTCAAGCTTGGTAACGTGACTCATTACATGTCATCACATGATTGCTTATAATAGCTTTTCTAAATCATATATTTACAAGCTGTTGTCATATAGTTGGGATATTGCTGAGTGCAATAAACAAACAAATCATCCCGTATCCCGCCGTAAAGTTGCTGGAATATTGCTAAAAGTGGCGTAAAACCAAACTCAGTCAGTCTATCAGTACAGGGATAAAATATAAACTCACCCAAGCCATTTTCAATCAAGCAATGGTATTCCAAGATCTGGAAGAATTGCAAATATTTGGGGTCATTACTGTATGCTCTTACTGTTTGGGCTTGTAGACAATGTTACTTTCTATCCCTTCATTGCCTTCATTTTTCCATTCAACAGTAAAACCATCTACTTTGACTGACATCAGTGCCACTAATTTCAACAGTACCTGTGTACTGTTGTCATGGCAACATGCAGATACTCACAGAATAGCATGTCGAATACTGTACAATTGCTCTTACTGGCAAGAATCCTGTCAGGTTGGTTGCATCATTTTCTTATCTGATGATTATAATGAACCAATGGGTATATACCTCGATCACAACATGACTGAATCATGACACCAGCTGCATGTGCTACACAGATTTATGCATATCCTGAGAAAGGCAAAGCACTCATTCTGAGACATCTGATTAAGAAATAGCATTTGTAGTGACATCAATTGTGACATGACAAAGTGACCTGAATTGCTGGTTGAACAAGTTACATCAATGATGTAAATAAATCTTCCATATGCTGTCTCTGTTTTGCTTTCTGTGCACTTCCAGCCTGTGGACAATGTGTCCGATGGATCTGTCTCTGTGTGTGGCCTCATGCCTGGGACAGTATATCAGTGGAATGTGTCCTGTCTCCCTGAAGAAGGGGGATTCTGGAGCGAAGTCAGCACATTCATCCACACCACACAGACTGATGGTAGGTGGCAACTGTGTTACTGATGGTAGGTGGCAACTGTGTTACTGATGGTAGGTGGCAACTGTGTTACTTATGGTAGGTGGTGTGTGTTACTGATGGTAGGTGGTGTGTGTTACTGATGGTAGGTGGTGTGTGTTACTGATGGTAGGTGGTAACTGTGTTACTGATGGTAGGTGGTGTGTGTAACTGATGGTAGGTGGCAACTGTGTTACTGTTGGTAGTTGATGTGTGTTACTGATGGTAGGTGGTGTGTGTTACTGATGGTAGGTGGCAACTGTGTTACTGATGGTAGTTGATGTGTGTTACTGATGGCAGGTTGTTTGCTACTGATGGTAGGTGGTGTGTGTTACTGATGGTAGGTGGTAACTGTGTTACTGATGGTAGGTGGTGTGTGTAACTGATGGCAGGTTGTTTGTTACTGATGGTAGGTGGTGTGTGTTACTGATGGTAGGTGGCAACTGTGTTACTGATGGCAGGTTGTTTGTTACTGATGGTAGGTGGTGTGTGTTACTGATGGTAGGTGGCAACTGTGTTACTGATGGTAGTTGATGTGTGTTACTGATGGTAGGTGGCAACTGTGTTACTGTGGTGCCTGTTACTGATGGTAGGTGGCAACTGTGTTACTGATGGTAGTTTGATGTGTGTTACTGATGGTAGGTGGTGTGTTACTGATGGTAGGTGGCAATTGTGTTACTGTTGGTAGTTGATGTGTGTTACTGATGGTAGGTGGTGTGTGTTACTGATGGTAGGTGGCAACTGTGTTGCTGATGGTAGTTGATGTGTGTTACTGATGGCAGGTTGTTTGTTACTGATGGTAGGTGGTGTGTGTTACTGATGGTAGGTGGCAACTGTGTTACTGATGGTAGGTGGTGTGTGTAACTGATGGCAGGTTGTTTGTTACTGATGGTAGGTGGCAACTGTGTTACTGATGGCAGGTTGTTTGTTACTGATGGTAGGTGGTGTGTGTTACTGTTGGTAGGTGGCAACTGTGTTACTGATGGTAGTTGATGTGTGTTACTGATGGTAGGTGGTGTGTGTTACTGATGGTAGGTGGCAACTGTGTTACTGATGGTAGGTGGCAACTGTGTTACTGATGGCAGGTTGTTTGTTACTGATGGTATGTATTTTATGTTGTTGTTCATAGATTGATGACATTTTATGTACACTGTCCTTGGTTTAAGCGTGTCATCAAATACATAGATCATAACAATGTAATTCACCTACAAAAAACATTTCTTACTACATGAGCTCCCATGTTATATAGAAACATATGACTTGACTCAAATACTTTGAATAGACGAACCTATTAATGAGGTTTAATTGCATGTTTAATTCTGATACAATCCGCCATGTTTGTTATTGGAATTGACTATTTGCTAGTTCCAGCATCTCAACCAGAAGTGCATCCTGGGAGTTTTCTACAAGTTGACTGTGAAGAAGACAACTGCAGAGGGATCTTGCTGTTCTGGAAGGTATGATCATAAGTGAGCAATACAACAATTAAAACATGCTATTCAGTTCATTTGTTCCAGCATGTTCAAATCTCCATGTCAGTAGAACTGAGAAGACAAATCTAGTTCATCATAATTTGCAGACTGATGTTATAGAGCCATTTACATATGTTCCACCATATCATGGCCTACCACCACATCTTGGAGAACAGCTATTAATTACTAGTTGTCACATAAGTAAACAGTACAAACTTGGACTTTGGGATTATATCTTGAGAGAATACTTCATGCTTACAGCAAGGTTATATGTCTGGATGTTTGGGGGAAGATAAAAGAAAATTTAAATGCCCAATTTGAAGACACATGTTAGATGTAAATATAACTTAAAAAATGTAGGAATTTAGGTAGTTCATTTAACTGTTAACATGTAGTTTCCTTGCGCCTGTATCTCTCACATCACAGAGCATTTTCTTCAAAGTAACACAAGCTTATGCTACCAGATATATGATAAGGGTGGAATGAACTAGTCAGACTTCTTCAACTGAAGCAACGCATGTGAACTGTACATTTCGTAACTCATCATCAATCACCATCTTTTAGGCTGTTCCTGCCCATCTGCGTAATGGTCCCATCACAGAATATCACATCTTTGTGGAAGACACTGATATTGGAAATGAGACTGACATCACCGTGACAAACATGACACAGACGTCACTAGAACTCCGCCTGGAGCCAAACAACACCTACCAGGTCCAGACCTCAGCCTGTACAGAGGTGGGATGCTCCACCAAGTCCAAACACATCACCATCGCACCACAGGGAAAAGGTATATTTGTGGGTTGTTTCTTCCTCTGTAATTTACCTAGCCACTGACACCATCCTATCCATCCAACTCACCCCATACATCCAACAATTCATCTTACCAATTAATCAATCTTACCTCATCGACACTATCATCATTCAAGAGCAAATATCCTCTGTGACATTCCTAATATTCAACAATAAGAAGCAACAAGTCAGGACACAATATAACTGCAATTGAATTATTACTTACAAGCAAATTAGCATTCCGTTTTTCCTTTTCAATAAAAGAATTGAAGTTTTTCTTTGTTTGGTGTTTTTGGAAATTTGACTGCACACTGTAAATAACTTTTGGGAACACAAAAATTAAATGATTGACGTTAGGAGATGTATTACATTAGGAAATTATGTCGTAAACGTTTCCTCTTGATTATGGTTGCCAGTTTCCTGTGGGTGACACAGATACATACAGAATGAAAGAGATTACATTTTTTCTAAGTCATAGCTATCCCTAGTGGTATGCCTAAATATCTACATGGTTAACTCCCTTAGCTGTGACGTCACAGCATTTTTCTTTGAACACCTTCATAATTTTTATCTGTATGGTCACACACGGACGTGGAAGAGTGGAAGAGGTTTATTGTCAAGTTTAATCTTACAGATTTATTAATGGCTTTATTATTGCTTATTGTAAAAAACTTTTTACTTTGTGTAGTTTAGGACTTTTTCCCCGCCCTTTTTTAACTTTTCCCGCCATGTCGCAAAATAAGTGCGTTCAATGTCAAAAATTTATGGCTGAGTTAGATCCGCATTCTCTATGTGCATCATGTTTTGTTGGAGCTCCTTGCACAGTTGAAGATTGCTGTTTGCTATGTTCTGCCTTATCTACGGAGAAATGGATTAGTATGGATAAAGCACGTTATAAGGCGAGGAAGAGAAAATTGTCAGAGATCTCAGATTCCTCTAGAAGTAAAATACCTGCCTCTCAGCCTTTTAGTTCAGCAGTTAAATCGGACTCTAAGTCAAAATCTAAATCTAGATCAAGTTCATCATCTTGCCAGGTTGATTTGTCAGCTATTGCAGAGCTTTCGTCTTCTTTCATGTCAGAAATTCAATCATCCATGCGGCAGTCCTTCCATGACTTTGACTTACGTAACGAAGGGAAAATCTCAGACTTACAGAGGCAAATTGATTTCTCCAGCTCCCTAACTCAAAATGCGGCTTATCTATATGACTCATACGATGAAGGGCATGCTAGGTCCCAAGGTCTAGAGTCATTCCCCGTAGGGCGGCGCAGTGCTCTGCAGTCCAGCATCACCCACGTCCTGAAGCCAGGTTGGAGACGCTAAAGCTTTGAGTGGGAGGGACACGGTCCCTGGCTGTCAATTCATGCTTTACGGTGGTACATTTAGAGAACTCTTGACTTCAGAAAGGGTCGCCGTCGTTTGTTTCTTCCATGTAAGAGAACATTGATTCAGAAATTTTAAAAAATACTCATCTCAAGAAAGACTATCACCTTTGCTTATAGGGACTGTGATCAGGAGACTATAGATGCTGTTTTCACCTCATGAGATTAGGGCACTAGCTTCATCTTTGGCAGCTTGGAATTCAGTTTCGGTGGAACAGATAGTATCTAGTTGTCAATGGAAAACATCAAATGCTTTTGCGAATTTATATCTTAGAGATGTTGCCACGTCCATGGGGGGGTCTACGAAACTTTAGTGGCGGCACAGCATATATCCCCTGACCTGGTGTGTGTATGTGTATGTGTGCGTGCATGCGTGCGTGCGTGTATGTGTGTGTGCATGTGCGTGTGTGTGTGTGTTCGAGTGAAAGCCTGAAAGTGGATCAGTTCAGACGACCTGGATCAACAAGACTTCGGGACTTATGGATATTGGATACTTGTTCATAAAGATCTAATATTATCTGTATATTACAGTGTATGGTGATGGTTTCACATATCACGTGATTTGGAGAGAACTGTTAGATGTTGGGAAGTTGTTCTAGAGAATTAGTTTAGTAAGGGTAGTATATATCTGAGGATGGATACAATATGAACCGGAAGTGACGTCATAACCGGAAGTGATGTCATACCCGGAAGTGACGCCATAACGGGAGTGACGTCATAGCCGGAAGTGACATCATAAGTGACGTCATAAAAGCCCTAAGTGACGTCATAGGTGACATCATAAAGCCAGAAGTGACGTCATAAACCGGAAGGTGACGATAACATACTGGAAGTGACGTCATAGTAACGTAAGGTGACGTCATAAATTCGAAGGTATAGTCGAAAGAACGAAAAGTGACGTCATGTCTGAACACGCGGTTTCAGGATGGGAATAGGTTCTCTGAATTAGTTAGAATATTAGGAATTAATTCTGTTAATGATCTAATTTCTCTCCAAATATTTCAGAATCTTCATCATGTTAACTTCCTCTTCTAGTAATATATTAAAAAAATAATATGGTGGAGGGAATATTGAACAGGAAGTTATCTAAGTCATAGTTATCCCAAGAAGGGAATTCGGGATTCCAGAAGTATAGTGGTATAGCTATGTTTCCTCTTCACTGGGGCCCTCCATCCTTGTGTGGGATTCTGGCAACCATAATCCAGAGGAAACGTTTACGACACAATAATTAGAAACTGTGAATTACGGATATTGTCAGTAATTATTAGTAAACTTACCTCTGGATTATTGCATCTAGGACCCTCCCTTACCTCCCCGCGAAGTGTATGAGGAAAAATAATTTTTAAAAATAAAAACAAATTATGAAGGTGTTCAAAGAACAATGCTGTGACGTCACAGCTAAGGGAGTTAACCATGTAGATATTTAGGCATACCACTAGGGATAGCTATGACTTAGAAAAATGTAATCTCTTTCATTCTGTATGTATCTGTGTCACCCAAAAGGAAACTGGCAACCATAATCAAGAGGTAAGTTTACTAATAATTACTAACAATATCCATATTTGTTCCTTCTGATGACACAGTCAGTAATATCACTAATTATATAAGTGGCCAATAGCCTGATGCAATTAGCTGCCATCTTTAGTTGCTGGGTTATTGTATGTTAACCTGAAATCTCTATTGGAACAAGACTGCAAATATAACCTTATGTACAGGCCCATTTGGTTTATTTTAGTTTCACAACCAATTACAGACGATAGAATGAATGTCATATACTGTTGTACGCAATTCATGAATCAATTTTGCATTAAATTGCAAGTCAGGCCAATACCACTCACCTGAGACTCAGAGGTACTAATTTACACTGTAATTAATTACTGTGATGTGATGGGGAAGGATACTGCCACAGACTGAGGTAATAACAGACATGACAATGCGGTACTTAGATCTCTCCTGGGGCTTTAACATACTTCCTGGTCAATATCAATTATTGTAATGCTCTCTCCAACCAGTTATTCATGTAACTGCTGTGCTTGCTTTTTCTAGGAATATACTTGTTATACATTCAGTGATGTTAATGTGCTGCTTATCACAACATGTCAAGCACATATCTCTCTCAACACTTGGTTGAAATCAGTCAGGCATGATGATGGAGAAAGATTCTGCCTTGAAACTTAGCTATATGCCAAAAACCATATGTTATGCACACAGAAGTACATTTTTTTTTTATTCACCAACTCCTAGAATGCTAATAAGGCAGTTAAATTCAGTGGTTCAGAAAACATGGCACTGTGCTTCTCCACCAGAATCATTATACTAAATTTCACCAAGTTAAAATTTGTGGAGTTGTTTATATCTTTATGTGAGTTGGGTTTTAGTCAAGCCAAGTCTCATCATAAAAGGTAGATACAGGTGATGACTAGGAAGATGCAGGTGATGACTAGGAAGATGCAGGTGATGACTAGGTAGATGCAGGTGATGAGTAGGAAGATGCAGGTGATGACTAGGAAGGTGCAGGTGATGACTAGGAAGATGCAGGTGATGACTAGGAAGATGCAGGTGATGACTAGGTAGATGCAGATGATGACTAGGAAGATGTAGGTGATGACTAGGAAGGTGTAGGTGATGACTAGGAAGATGCAGGTGATGACTAGGTAGATGCAGGTGATGACTAGGAAGGTGTAGGTGATGACTAGGAAGATGCAGGTGATGACTAGGTAGATGCAGGTGATGACTAGGAAGATGCAGGTGATGACTAGGAAGATGTAGGTGATGACTAGGTAGATGTAGGTGATGACTAGGAAGATGCAGGTGATGACTAGGTAGATGCAGGTGATGACTAGGAAGATGCAGGTGATGACTAGGCAGATGCAGGTGATGACTAGGGAGATGCAGGTGATGACTAGGAATATGCAGGTGATGACTAGGAAGATGCAGGTGATGACTAGGAAGATGCAGGTGATGACTAGGTAGATGCAGGTGATGACTAGGTACATGTAGGTGATGACTAGGAATATGCAGGTGATAAATAGGAAGATGCAGGAAATGAATTGGAATATGCAAGTAATGAGAAGGGAGCTGTAGGGGATGTTATAGATCTCTAGATCTCTGATTGGTTTACTACAGGTGTGTCACCACCCCAGGACTTTACAGTGGAGTTTATGACGGATGAGGAGCCTGGCAACTTCAACATCAACTGGCAACCACTCCACACCCGAGTCGTGTCCTACACCATATACTGGTGCATGAGGGGAGAAAACACAACCAACTCTACAGTAAGCAGCTTTATTACCCACTTGGTCAACGTATGGGTAGTTGCATACTGATCTCGTACGTCACACGAGTGTTGTATCGCGTTGACCTGTGTCGTAACGACTTGACCTGAGATTCTAACAATTTGATTGGATAACCGATGACCTCTCAATTAGGTCACATTGTGACGGAATTTCTTTTTCATTCATAACAAACACATGAATTCATTCATTCTACAACTTATATGCATTGTGGGAATGTAAACATTGCGAACGTTGCCATATCGCTGTTTAATTGTGAGTTGAACTGAGACATTATATGTGTCGAGAAACAATGGTTCCACCAGTGATGTTAGCCGAGTGAAGCAACTGCAAACTAAGAAACGGGGTACTATGGAGTAGTTTAATGTAGGAGGCTGTACGAGGTGATGACAACTGACATGCATTGTGACGTCGGTTACCAAGGGGGCAGACAAGTAAGGTGTAGTGATGTCATTACAGTGTGACGTCATGCAAAAAGTGTACTACAACAAAATTCCTCCGCAAACCTCTTTATGAAACTGGTTTCGGTTTGAACCATAAATATAACAAAAATACGCTATTTTGTCAATTTAATGCATGTAAGACGTGGGTAATAAATAAAATACCACATTCGGTCTCATAACATATGAATTATACGAAACTCGTGACCTTCCTATGGTTTCTGACCGAAACATGGGCAGCAGAAATGTACACATTGAAGCAATGCCTTCCAACAAGTCCATTAATTCTTCCCCACAGACCCCCTTGGACTGGACGACTGTGGCCCCCAACACCACGGAGTACAATCTGACACTCCCAGGCCTCAGTGAGAACACCACACAAGACTACATGGTGGGGATCTCTGCTGAGGTCATCATGACCTCATCGAGGACACGGAGGGCAAGTGATGCAAGCCAGGTGACCAGCAGTGGCATCTCATGGAGTCAGTGCCTCCACATCAGTGGGAATAGTGAGCAATATTTATTCACATGACTAATTATACACATGTGTAAACATACAAATATGTGTGCAAATGTAAGTGTACTATGCATTTATAGGAAAATTAACTGAGGTGTGTAAGTAAGGTATATAAATGTGTAAGGCACACATCAGTATCTTCAAGATATCAAAATGAAAATGACATTTACCAATGAGAAGAGAATTACCATATAGAAATGTTCACATAAACAAAATGTGTTTGATTTAGTCTGTACACAACCCTTTGACTCTATGATCCAGAATGTCACTTGTAGTGAGGTGAATGGGAATGAAGTATACGTCGAAATTGCTTCCATGGAAAAATAAGAAAATAGAAGAAAATTTTGAAAAATATTAAAATAGCAGAAGGTACCAATTTAGCTTTTGCACAGTTCGCATACCAAGTTTTGTTGAATATATTGAGCAGTTTTGAAATTATGACTGCATAGGATGTTAAAGATGATGCCATTGCCAACACAACCTACACCATCAACACAACTGAAAAGCAAACACAAAACAATGTCTACTTTCTTTTAGTTGTCAGACATAACAAAATTATTCCTGCTTTAATTTGTTTTCTCAGTTCCAGCAGCAGCACCTGAGGTTCTGCACATGACCAGTGACCCATCGACTGCCAGTATAGACATGGAATGGCAAAAACTGAGCTGCTTGGAGACACCTAGTGTACTGACAGGTGTACTTGTGGTGTACTGTGTTGTTGATGGAGGGGATACATGTACAGGTAATAATTTATACTGATTGAGAATAAGTCAATATCACCACATTCTGCTAAAAACTTCAATCATCTGTGAAAACGTCTTGCTTCTGAAAATGACTATTCATATTTATGGACACGTTTTTATCTTAGCAGGGAAACATCGTTCAAGTGGGTTGCCTTGTGGCTTGTGTGTTTTTTTCTCCTAACAAAGATGCAGTGTTTGATTTCTTGGAAATAACATTTGGAATGTTATAAGAAACCAAAATTTTTTTCCAGGACCTGAACAGAGTCAGATGGCTGTAGGTCGAGGGAGCAGCTACACTTTGAAGGATTTGGACACTGGCCACACATACCTCATCAAAGTTTGTGGTGTTTCAGCAGCAGGGAATGGACCTTTCAGTGCACCAGTCAAAGTAGACCTGAAAGCATGTGAGTTATGCATACTGAAATTTACACAAATGATTGTAGATCCAGGTAAAATGTGCAACTAGTATATGCACTACACTTCTGACTTTGACTAAGACTAAAACACTTCTTATTATGGTAAACATTGCATATGGAATTTGGTGCTTGAGAGATTACCATAGTGTTTTCTTAATCCCAAAGGATGTAGTTTAGATTTGTTTCTTATTTCACTGTCCAAAATTGCAGACATAAACAAGTCTGGGTCTGTCATATCAGTGACTGATATAGGAACAACAGTCAATGGGGTACAAGGGCATAGAATCAACCACAGAGTCTGACAACCCTATCCACCAAATTGCCTCTTATGACCAACAACAGCAGCGGGGAGTAATTCTAACTGGAATTCCCACCAGGCTTGACCAGAAGAGATGATCAGAAATAATTAATTGCAACACTTCTTAAATCTACTATTGTCACTTTGATGTTATTGTCTAATGAATGTATATAAGTCTCAAAGTCAAAATGAAAATGGATCTCTATCTGTGATAAGCTGGAGGATACAGATGACAAGTGTCAATTCTCCATGAGATGTGGTATGTTTCAGATCTTGCACTCATGTACACAGTGCTAATAGTGGCAAGTGTGCTGCTCCTCCTGTTGTTCATCTTCTTCTGCATCATATGGGGATGCTGGTGAGTATGTTGGATCTCCTGACTACCATAGCCTTCAAATCTCTAAGTCATAATTACAAATATACTCAGCAGCAAAAAAACACGTCAGTATGAATTCAAAATTAGATAGGCACTGTAATGAAATCATTACAGAAATGGACATAATAAGCGGATCAAAAACAGTTTTTGTGTACAATATCTTGACACATCAATGAATAACTCAGCACAATTCCAAGACATTACAGGAACATTTGCAGTCTTTTCAGACTCTTGACTTCAGTATCTAGTGTGACCACCATGAGCGGCAATAACTGCAGCACAGCGGCAATGCATGTAGTGCACCAGTCGATTGATGAAGGCCATTGGCACCTGGAACCACACTCTGAGAAAGGCCTGGCACAATAAATTGGCTGTGTTTGGCCTTGGTATGACATTATTCAGTCTCCTCTGAATTTCATCCCAAAGATGTTCAACTGGGTTTTAATCAGGACAAAGTGCTGGCCACTGCATAATGTTGACACCGTTCTGCTGTAGGAAGTTCCATGTAGCTCTGGCAGTATGGGCCCAGGCGTTATCATGCTGGAAAATGTTGTTCTGGTGACGTGCGAAATGTGGTATGATATGGGGTCTGAGAGCTTGGTCGATGTAGCGCACCCCTGTGATGCCGCCTCCTCTCCCTGGACCAAGGTTCTGGAACACCACAGGACCCATTCTCTGGTTCAGGCCTATTCCACCCAATACCATGATGCTTGCACCTCCCCATGAGTCTCTTTCCATAACACATTGGTCTGAGTAACGCTGGCCACGTCATCGCCATATTTTTGTTCTGCCATCTGCAGTTGATACGCAGTACTGACTCTCATGTGTGAACAGAACAGTTCTCCATTGTCTGTATTGCCAGTTTTGGTGATGTAGGGCAAACTGTAGACGTTCACGCCAATGACGAGGGGTGAGGATAGGTCCATGGTAAGGTCTACGGCAATGGAGGTTGGTTTCCACAGTCTGGTGTGCTATTTCGGATGCCTGTATGAAGGGATTCTGTACATGCTGTCGCACATCATGGTGATCTTGTCTTCTTGTGGTCACCCTTGGTCTGCCAGTACGGGGGCGATCATTTGTGGTGTTGGTGGCCCGGAAACGTTGCTGCAGCCTGTAGATGGTCTGAACGTTGACCTGGAAGTGATTGGCAACAGCTTGTGCAGTGTGGCCAGCTTCAAGTCTTCCTAGCACCTGGTTCCTCTGAGCTGTTGTGAGAAGGGGCATCCTGCTGACATTGTAATGTGAATGTTTCAACCAGATTTGGGGGTGCCTTTTATAGGGCTGGTCCTTGTGAACAGCACGTGCAGCATGAGTTGCATGAAAAACATGGAGAACACCGTACCATCTCCAAGATCAGGTTGCGTTTTCAAGACCATTTCATGGGTTCCATTCTGAGTTTGGGAAGGAATGTCTTTGCTCAGGTAAAGTTGGAGATGTTGTCAAAAGTATACAATCAAAACATTTATCTGTTTCTGCGAAGGAACTGACGTTTCTTTTGCTGCTTAGTAATATTGAGATTGTACATGAATGGCCACCTGATTTTCAACCTCAGTATGGATATTTAGTTTGTGGTCATCACATGTTGGTAATTCAGATCGTGCACACATAGCACCATTCATTTCTTTATGATATGACTACTATGGCAGATTGAAACTCACAATCAGAGTTCCTTACTTTCGCAGCACGTTCAGTGTTATGTCAAGTTGTGATATGTAGACTGACTGAGGAAGCTGCAAGGGTAATTGCTCAAACATTTATGATTGTGAAAAAATTAAAATGTTTCTTCAAACGTGTTCATCCTATGAATTTGTTATGGTTTCAGCAAAATACAAGAAAATACCAAGTTGGAAATATCTTACCCCAAAAACAAGCTGCAGCTGCTGCAACATTGTGACGTAAGCACATAAAACTTACAAATCTAACCCCTTACAATTTGTGTTTCACATATTCCAAGCTGATTCCTGCTTTGCCAAAGACACTCAGTGACCTTTTACCAGTTAGACAACCAGCTTCTTTCATACCAGTTACAAATCTTTCATATCACTGTCCATAGTAAATGTTTGATAGGTACTGCAAATCATATAAACCTCTGTCTCTGATGCTTGTGGTGCTCACTGAGCTCACTATCTGAAGGCCATGTGCACTGATGGGTTCCATTTCTTACCTTCACCTTAACAATTTCAAAGAATTATTTACTTTTATCAGCGTCTCTCCCCATGGAACAAATCAAAGTTATTGTTTTCAAAAGGGCATCATTGATTTCATCATATATATATATTTTCAGTATGTTGATATGCCCACTACACATCCTGAAAGCAGTACATCAGGTAAAAATGGAACCTATAGGAAAAGTGGAACAGACAAAGAGCGAGATTTAGACCAGGAACTGGAAGACACCAAACTTTTACCTTCAGAATCCTACCGGGACATTGCCAGTATAAGAATGAGAGAATCATTAGGTCCCAAAAGAACGCACTCTTGTTATATGGGCTCATCAGCTAAAAAGAGCTCCCTGGAAGTTAAGCCTATAAATAGAGAAAAGATAGGTTTCACACAACCCTCTGATACAGCGGACCCTGCTTATGTGATAGTGGCTGTACATGGTGAAGACATTCCTCGGGAACAGCTTTCCTCATTCAGAAGTCATCTCCCTCTGCCTTGAAGGGGGATATTGAGAGCTATGTGAATGCTGAATCAGGGCAGGAATATTTTTCTCATCCTTTCATATGAAAACAAAAAACAGACCCCAAAAATTGCTAAAATGCTCATTCTACCAATCAGGGTATTATTTCTCCTCATCCACAAAATATTCCATGTTGAAGTATTTTAGTTGCTTTTGCAAAAGTACAAAATAACCAGGTCTGCCAGCTAATCAACTCGATCAACCTCCAACATCAATTCTGCAGATGATTCCACCTTAAACTTGTTGCCACACCTGCAAACTCTCTGCCTGTTGGAAACACCATCACCTCAGGTTTCCTGCTGCAGGAAATACTCCATCACATAAAAGTCTGCTGAAGATCACCCTTCTCCCATTGTGCAATATGTTGTTTCTGCTTCAGCCTCAGCTTCTGCACAATTGCAAACAAATGAGTTAACACTTGTTCACCACAGTCCTGCTCCTTTCTGTTTCCACAATACACACTCCACCATGACCTGCTTGTAATCCTAACTTTGGAACTTTCTGTCATGAGTGAAGTCATACATTCATTGAAGAAGAAAATATTCCTCCACCTTCAAGAATTTGAAATCAATCCATTCACAACAACAAACTATCCATGCAGAAAAATGTCTCCGATATCAACAAAACAAATATCCTTCCCAAAGTAACAATGACTCTACAAAAGAGTAATAAGTATTCAACGCCCCTACGACTTTCAAGTGAAACAGAGAATCTGTCCACACAGGAAAACCTTCCTATACTGCCGAGTCTAACATCCAGACTTCCTTCTGTCAACTCTAGAACCTGCAGTAAAACCAGTGATGACAATAATGTCCTTGATATTCCCTTTCTTGTGGGAGAACTACTGCATAAGGCCCTACCAATTTTATTTCTTGTTTTACAGATTTTTGTCCTCAGAAAACATCACGGCAGGAGGGAAAAAATTAAATAAAATGCTCAGTCAAAGTAATATTCCTTCTAAATACTAAAGTATTTTACTTTTGGGAATTTATGAAGTGTATATGGGGCAAAAAACAATCTATAAGAAGTTTTCTTGTAAGTTTACATTTTTGGCCAATAAAAACATAAGGAGTTTAATTTTTTAGCAGGGAAAATTAATAATTATTTTTGTTCTTATTCTTGAAAAAAATACGACTGGCGGATCCATAAAGCAAGAAATAAAATTGGTCTGGCCTAAGGTAGAATAAAAAAAGAGATCAAGATTTTCCTGAAGTTACCATTTTGTCTAAAATATGAAGAAGGTCAGTATTTCAAACTGGAGTCTGATCCACCTGAGGTTCCCCAAGGCCAATGTCTGTGACTGCTGGACACAGCAAAGGTTGCCATGTTGATGATGGTCCCACATCAATACCTCACCCCGTATCAGTTTTCTTCAGAAGGGAGATCCAACTGGCATCATGATGAACTGCATAAGAAGATATTTCAACTATTTAAGTGTCATTCTGAAGTAAAATGCACAGCTATATTTTAAGAGACAGTAACTTAAATTTGCTGAGCCAGGACGTGGTTCCTATATGTGCTTGAACAAGAATAATCAGACATTGTCTCTTGAGGTGAATCTCAGATATCCCAAAGTTAAACATTTACATGATCGAGAAACATTCATGGTGATTTCTGTGGTCAAGAAGGTTATTCAGCACTGACTTTGACTGTCAGGAATATATCTTAACAGTAATGGATTATTTTTCTGAAATCCAAATAAGATCCTGACGATTGAAACTGAGCAATCAGATGTATATTTGGAACTGTATCGGACAATTAAAAATGCTCATCTTCCTCGATATTGTAGTTCATGTTTGCTAATTCAGATTAAATTGAAAGATGTCTTGGGCATCTATTGAGTATTGCATTTAAAGTTTGGTGTATTGAATGACATAGGTGAGAAAAATATAAATGAAGCATAATGTTTCATGCAGTCAACATTTACTTATCAGGAAACTACTGATGAATAGTTCATACAATGTATTTCCCCAGCTGGTCAAATTTGGGTAATTATATGTATGTGTGTGCATGTCCTGAAAACTTGTGCCAAATGTTGAGAATCCTTTGTCTGATGTTCAGAATATAGACGTCACTTAAAGCAGAGTAACCTTGAACCACTATCACAGTTTCTTGCCAATGTCATCTTTCTAAAGAAATATATTTTCCCCGATTTTCAAGTAGTTGCTTCTTTCTTTGTTACTTAGTGCCGCACTCCGACTATGACGATGGTCGGTAAACTGACATCATGAGCATCAATCTGCACAACTCAGATACGATGACATGTATCAACCAAGTCAGCGGGAGTGACCATCCGATGCCGTTAGTTGTGTCTTATGCCACGACAAAAACATGCCTTGCTGGCGATCAATTCTGACCTGGATCTTCACAGGTCTTTTGTGGTTTTAATTTGTCTTGCATCTAAAATATATCAGTGAACATCCGAATCCTGAACCAAATACATGTATTAGCCCTTCCACATTATACATACATATCTGAATCATGAATGACTATGCCCCAAGCTACAAATGGCACTGACCTGACATTACAAACGCCTTTGCCCTAGCATTGGTAAACCCCTCAAACACCACATTATTGGTGTGACATCTGTAAGGCCATAGTAGCCATGCCCCTAACTGTGGCTGCATTGATGAAGCATCATATATAGTATTAATGCTGCAATATCATCAATAAAAGCAGGGTAATACTTTGTTTCTTTGTTGTTTAACTATACACAAAGCAATATTCCAGAGATATTGCAAAAGACAGTAATCAATTTAGTCTTAACCAGGCAATCCAACTGACATCATGTGCATTAAGCTTTAAGGATACAATGATGTTATGCGTTAAGTATATTATGAACATGAAGCGTGTCAAACCAAGTCAGCAACCCTGACGGACTTGTTAGTCACCCCTTATAACAAGTATAGGTTGCTGAAGATCAAGTCTAGCCCAGCCCAAATCTTCATGGTTCTGTGCTTTTCACTTAAACTTCAATAGTGTTGTTTAACAGGTTGCACCTAAGTGTTTGGGTTACCACCCATAACATATAACACATAAACATATAATTATCAATATGAAATGGTCTTTTATGATGATCTTAAACCACACTGATGTGCAGATTATATTTAATCCCATAACTAGAACCTCTTTGGAGTGACATTATATCCTAAGCTCTTAAAATGAAGCTCATTTGTGTGACATGATCCCAAGGCATAGATGCCCCTAATTATAGTACACTGATATGTCATCAGATGCACCTTGGCCATGGTTGACCGACTGGGGCTTAACCATTACACTACTGACATGGGTTTTACAGACATATCTTTAAGATCTCTGATGACACTCTACATGTTATAAGTTTACCGATTTATCTTTAAACTGTTAAGAGTTTACACTCATATCTTAAACCTCACTGTTGACTCTATACCTGTCATGAGTTTACATCCATATCTTTAAACCTCACTGGTGACATTATACCAGTGTCATGTGTAAACTCCTGTATCTTTAAACCTTACTGACACATTATTCCACTGTCATGGGTTTACACCTGTATCTTTAAACCTTAATGGTGACATTATGCCACTGTCATGGGTTTAAACCTGTATCTTTAAACCTCACTGGTGACATTATACCACTGTCATAGGTTTACACCTGTATCTTTAAACCTCATTGGTGACATTATACCACTGTCATAGGTTTACACCTGTATCTTTAAACCTCACTGGTGACATTATACCACTGTCATGGGTTTACATCTGTACCTTTAAACCTCACTCAAACACAATAATGAACAACACTGGACAGAGAAAGAGACTGACACAGCCCTAGACATGTGACTTATGGCCATGATTGCCCTGGGAATAATCGATTAAGACTATAAATGTCATGATATAAATAACATCAATTGATGAGAAGTGACATATCAGTCATTGACAGTGACCAGTCAATGGTGATGAGGATTAGTAATGGGAATTAGCATCATATCAATAAGGTCAAACAAGTGATGGAGACACACATAATGGCCACAGTAATAAGACCTTGGAAATGTTCATTCAGACCGTTGTTGTCCTGAATCTGTCACTATGACAGCAGTAAACACTCAGAGAGATCCTTGCACTGTCACACAAACAAAAAGGCATTGTGGAATTCAGGACCATCCCATGTCTTCAGTGATATCACCTATAGTTTAGCATGTATACAGCACTTGACGAGGAAGAAATTGATATGTTTATTTTTTTCATTAGTAATCTCAGCCACATTCAACATGATCATGAGGTGAAGTGATCTCAAATGGGATTAACATTGACTTCAAGATTACTTGACTTACCGGTTTACTGAGTAGGGCTTGCACATATGTGTATCACTGCATGTTATAGTCCAGACTTATAGGCCTAGTAGTGGTAAAATGGATAACAATGCTGAAGTTTAACAGGGATAGCCCACTAAGATACATTGAACTGACTCTGAGACGGCCCGTCCTTTATCCAGTTTTACCTTAATGTATGGCAATGTGTGAAATGTACGCTGGTCCTGTGGTCCCTGGCTAGTAAAAATTCATCAGGACCACTAAATGAGAAGTTTGCAGTGGTCCTGGTGGCCAGTGAATTTTGTATTGATAGTTCACTCACTGGTCCTGTGGTCTAACGGAAAATTATGAAAGGTGTCTTTCCCTGTATGGCATTAAAAAATTTCTTAATCACTTACTTGAACAGAGGATGAACCACCAGCATTCCACTCTCTGTTTTTCACTACACAGTATAGACAGTCCACATAATCATACATAATCATAGATTGTACAACACAGCAGCTTAGACCAAAAAAACAAATGTGTGTTTACGGTTTCCCAACTGACCCATCACAAACTTCCCATACCTAAACTTTTTTTTTGTTTTTTTTAAAAAGACGGCAAAACATTTTGTTATTCCAACAGTATGTACACATGTACTCCCCAATGTTGGGGGCGATCATATGTGACTTGTGCTCACTTACTCTTGTTTTTCATAACTGTTGAATTTAGAAAGTGTTGCTTCTTAAGTTATTAAAATTTTAAACTGGTTTCCCCTCTTTTCTTTCAAAACTGGTGCCTGATATTACATAAATATGTGATTTTATGAAAAATATGCGAGTGCATTTTAAAAAAAATGTAAGAAAAAAAAGATAGCCCCTACCTACCAACCCTGTTTTATAATTTCATGTTACCCTAAAGACACATTTTTTTTTTTTTTGCCTTATCACATGATGTAGGACACTTTGCAGTTTTATAAAAGAACTCCAAGAATCGGTCTCAATCAAATCCACATCAGGAATCTGAGTGACTATTAGACTATTAGGAATACCTTGGCACTGAAAAACAAAAACTTTAATTTCAAACATGGTTTTATTGTCCGGTAGAAAGATTTTCATCCATGCTGGTACCCAGGGTTGGCAATAATGGCAATAAAATATCAGATGATGATGTAATGACTGTTCTCTATAGCATAGGGGCTGAGGGGTAATGTAGTGGTTAAAGTGTTCACACATTACATCGAATACCCGGGTTTGATTCCCCACATGAATACAATGTTTGAATCTCTCTTTCTCTCAGATCTCTGGATGTTTCTCACCAGGAACAGTTGATGATGGATTTCCTACATGCAAGGGGTCCACCTTGGTGTGCCCAGTGACAACTCCAGTGTTCACGAATGGTATTTCAAAGTAACAGGACATGGGGTCCTGTAAGTTTAAGATGTCTGTCTGACCCACTGAAAATTCACAGGACCCATGGAATAAAATTAAACACACATTTCAGATTTAACATTTCTTATAATTGGCATTGAAACTATTAACAAACATAAGAAAAATTAAGATAAACAAGTGTCACATGTCACATATAACAACTTCAGTCAAAGTCATTGTGAAATATACAGTCGGACACTGGGGCGGTGGGTTGTAGAC